TAGAAAAGAGGTTAGATCTAACCTTCTACCCTAAATTATATTTTTGTCTGATTTACACTCATTACGATGAAGTCTTGACAAAACATTCATGAAAATTCATGAAAATTCATGAAAATTCAAGAGGTGAAAAAAGAGGTGAAAAAACAGGTGAGATCTCACCTCTTCACCTAAACATTATTTTTGGGTCCTTTACACTCATTACGAAGAAGTCTTGACAAAACATTTACGAAGAAGTCTTGACAAATTCAAGAGGTGAAAAAAGAGGTGAAAAAACAGGTGAGATCTCACCTCTTCACCTAAACTTTATTTTTGGGTCCTTTACACTCATTACGAAGAAGTCTTGACAAAACATTTACGAAGAAGTCTTGACAAAACATTTACGAAGAAGTTTTGACAAAACATTTACGAAGAAGTCTTGACAAAACATTTACGAAGAAGTCTTGACAAAACATTTACGAAGAAGTTTTGACAAATTCAAGAGGTGAAAAAAGAGGTGAAAAAACAGGTGAGATCTCACCTCTTCACCTAAATTATATTTTTCAATACTTTTTCAGCACTTTTCCGTAGTTATATATGAAAGACAATTCGAGATAAAAGTCATAGTACAATGGAATAATATGTTGCACACCATTTGTTGTGAACCAAACTTGAAAGTCAGAGAAACTGTTACTAGGTGGTTCGTAGAATTTAGAAGCAAAGTCATAAAAGTCCTTACCAATACATAGAAAACTATTGTTGCTTGAACTGAAACTTGCATGACACATAACATTTTGAGGGTCAAACACGTTTCTATAAACCATCAAATCTGCTGGTGGAAGTATAAATTGAAATGGACCATCTGGTGGTAATGGTTCGTTCTGGTTTAGTAACCGAAGAAATTGTGCCCAAGAACGTTTGTCTACTTTCCAATATAAAAACTCTGTATCTCTTGGAGGGTTAATTTCAATCTTTTGAAATGAAACGGTGGAGTTCATCTTGTCATATTCTAGTTTCAGATAGTATGTTCCATTTAGTAAAGAGTCGTATTTTTCTTGAAATTCCCAATAATATTTGTTCATTTGAGTTTGAAAGTCATTTAGAGTTTTCTCAAGACTTTCGTCTGAACGAACTGTAAAGATTCTCATTTCGTCAAATTTGTCTATTAGACCATCATGACCTTTATACTGCCCATGAAAATATACTGCTGCGAACATAAATGCGTTAGTTCTATTTGAAAACAAAACTCTTCTAAATCCTATTGCCTTTGCATCTGAAGGACTTTGAAGCCAACGAATTGGATAGTCAAACCTGTATGCTCGGGATGAAATTTCTTCATCTGAAATAGTCCTACCAGCATTTGTAAAGATATAGTCTAACGGTTTTGTATCTGCTACTTTTGTTCTTTGTTTTTCAACCTGAAGCATTTAATATATGTAAAAATATATTGTTTTAAAATGGTATGCCATTTCATATTTCTCATCTAACAAACAAGTTTCCCAACTCTGCTTTTATTCTAGCAGACTCAGCGTACATTTCAAATAAAATTAAAAAATGTCACTTTTTAAAAATAAATTTTTACTTCATGCAATGTTCACTAACATCGAAAGGCATGTTCATAAGACGTTCTTCTTCTAACCTCTCTAGTCTGTTTGGATAATTTGCACGTGCTGTTTCCAAATCCATTTCGTAGCGAAGACCAGCCAGTTTGTCATAGACTTTTATGGGTCTTCCCTTCCTATATTTAAACTTCTTCGAAACTCTCCAACCATATCTTTGCAACTCTGCTTTTATTCTAGCAGATTTTCTATCCATTCTATATGGGGGCATTTTTATAAAAATAAAAAAATGTTTTTTTCTTTACTTAACATAACCGCCTGCTGCCATAAGTCTTTGACGCCAACCCATACCAGCTAATGAAGGTTGACTTGGTTTAGTTTGGAAACTAAACTTTGGTTTTGGTTTATCTTCAGTTTTTGGTTTCTCTTCTTCTCTATCGGTTTTTTCGTCACTTTTCGGTTCCTCTGACTTTACTTCACTTGCAGGAACAGTTGTGTCGTCAACATCTTCATAAATATCATATGCCATTTGTTTTTGTTTTCCTTTCAACTTTTTGTGTTTGTTGTAAAGTTTAGAATATTTCGACTCTAAGTCAATGAGATGTTCTATAATGAACTGTTGGTCAGTGAAGTAAAACTTTTCCATCTGTTGTCTCGAAAGCTCCTTCAGACTTCAATATTTTATTTGTGAGAGTCTGTTTCTTTTTTGAGATACTAGCCGTTCCATTTCTATGAAAAGTGACTTTATAGTTAGGGTTTGTATTTCCAGACCTGGCACTTTCTATTATTGAATTTTTCTCTTCATCTGTAAGTTCTTTGACAGGTTTTGACAATGGTTCTGAACTTTTTGTTTGTGGTGTCAAATCTACCGTTTCAACTTCTTCGGTCATTTCATCTCAGTAAAAAATTTTAGTTTGGTTTGTTTTCAACTGGTTGTTTAGGTTTTTTAAGTCGGTCTAAAACTTCCTGAGGTATAGGAAGAACTTGACAAACACGTTGTGTAACTGCTGGAAGCCGACAAATCCATCTTGAACCCATTTGTCTCAATGCTGTATTGTTCATTTCATCTCAGTAAAAAAATTTACATTCCCCACGTTTGAGGCGGTTGAGGTTGGTTATTGTTTACCCACTGTTGTGCATGGTTATATCCTCTGTTAAAGAATCTTTCACCTTGGTCCATATAGTGTCCTGCTTGGTTATAGTAGTCATTTGCTTTGTTATAATAGTTTCCTGCTTGTCTTCCTACATTGTCCATCCATCCTTGAACTTTTCCTCTTGTTTCAGGATTTGGAATAAGATTTGTTGCATCTCGTGCTACATCCCAACCTTTCTGTACAGTTTGTATAATAGGTTGTGCTTTCTCTTTAAGTATACCTAATGTACTCAAAATCTTCCTTCCAACTCCAAATACACCTCTGGCTATTGTTCCAACTGCGGGCAAAAATCTGGATGCAACTCCTGCTAATGCGCCAAATAAACCCATTTCTTATAGGGTAAAAAATGACGAATCCAAACAAGGACCCCTATGTTTCTAAAGCGACAAAGAAAGCACTCATGGTAAAAATCTTTAGTTCAACACTAAATGCTTGGTTTATGGATATCTTGGAAAACATTCCGAGGTATAGAGAAGATGGACCACCATACTGGCTAATATTTGTCGGTCAAAACACAAGATACTGTGAAGCCATACCATTACAGTCCAAAGCTATTTTAGATATCTTAGCAGCTTTGACAATATTCGTTGACAAATACCATCCAACAAAACTGACATCTGACTGTGAAAGTTCTTTCAAATCAGATGATGTAAAAAACTATCTGCGTTCAAAAAATGTAAACCAATATTTCATTGTCGACCAAAACCATTCTGCTCTTGGTGTCATTGACGGTTGTATAAAAATGTTAAGAGACTTAAACCAACCACAAGGTGGTGAAGCAAATGAAATGTCATATGACGACAAGTATAGACACTTCTCCATGGCAAAGATGAGACAAGTTTTAAATATTTACAATAGCCGTAAACAAAAAGGTTTGGGAAACCACTCCCCGAAGAAATGAAAAACAACCCTGACTTAGAAAAGACTATATATTTAATAATTTAGTCAAAAGGACAAACAAGAAAAGAATGCCGGGCTTCAAACTTCAGAAAGGTGACAAAGTAAAAATAGAAATACCTAAACGCGACCCATATGAAAATACTATTGACTATGACAACAATGGGAACCGACAGGTACTCATTCGTGTTCGTAAAAATAGAAGAAAGTATACAAGAGAATATTATGAAGTTTTAGGCAAACATGGCAAAATATAACCACTGCAAGCAGAAGATAAAACTTATTGTCAGACCTCGTTTCAAACTTGTCAAAGTTCAAGGTGGTATACTTTCAAAGGACAGTTCCTAACAAATATAAGACAAACTCCTGACGAATATGCTAAAGAAGTTGAAATGACGACTAAGATTTCTATACCATGCGTAAACTGTCATGTAAGGTGGCATGTATTCTTTACTTTGTCCCGTTGTTTGCGTATATCCTGAAACGCGATGTGTATGGTTTCCTCCTCCCTCAGTGTTACTCAGTAACAATCTATAGCAACTTAACGTTGTCTTTAACATCATATCCTTTACCTTTTATCATTGCTGACCAATCCCAATATCTATGCTTATGCCAACCTGCTTGAATGTACTTAAATCTATGTAGTGACTATGTGCAGGTAAATTTTCACCTGAAATCGTTTTACTTCCACCTGTTTCCTTTGAAGAGTTTGCACAATACAAAAACCTGTCGACTATTTGAGTCCAAGTTCCAAAACCCAGAACTGTTTCTGGTCTGGTAGAGTTCATTGACGTATAAATAGAGCCTATAGGATATAATGTTTGAAGTTTTCTGTCTTTAATGTTTGAAGCTCTGTTTTGTCTGCTTTCTTGTCTAACATTGCGGGTAGTTCATATGCTTCAAAGTTTCTGGCATGACTTTCAATGTTCCTGCAACTCTTATCTAAATTGTTAAGAGTATCTTTTACGCTTGTACTCGGATTCTCTAAAGGTGCACTTGAACCAAGGTCAAAGTTCAGTATTATGTCGTCTGCTCTAACAGTTGTAAAACTTGTATGTGTATGAGTCTTATTTGCTTTCTTCTCTAAACTCATCGTTAACATAAGTTTTATCTGCTTTAAGGTCTAAACATCCTGAAACCCATCCTGTATCGGCTTTAGTTTTTAAAATCTTCGATGTCCGTTCATGGTACCAGTCAACCCTTTCTATAATTTCTTTATCTTTTTCATCCACATATTCCTTATCCGCCTTCTTCACTAACACACTAGCCATAAGTCCCTTATCTACCTTATTTTCAGGCTAACGTTTAAGTCTGTTATTTCAGATATAGAATGTGTATGAGTCTTTTTTAGAATATTCGTTTTCAGCTCTCGTCACTTCACTTGACATTTTATTGTCAACATATGTTTTGTCTGCTAGTTCAGGATGAGTATGTTCTTTTGTTGCATAAGCATTGTTAGCTCTTTCTTTTCTTTTGCTATTGCATCGTCTACATATTCTTTGTCAGCTTTGTTGTCAACATCTGCTTTCAAAAGAAGTTCATTTATAGGTTTCTCGTTTAAAGTTCCTTTTGTTGGATTTATACAGACAGTATTGTTCTTCTTGTCTTGAAATAGAAACTCATCTGTCATTGGGTTTAATGTCAGTTTTAAGTTTCCTTCTTTCAATGACTCAGATATCTTAGAATAGTTTGAAAAGTTTGTTGTGTTCTTATTTAGAGCTTGCATAATGAGTTGTCGGTTGTGTTGTATTTCTCTCATGGAAGCAATATCTTTCGACATTTTTATTCTAGATAAAATATGCTTTCAATAGAAAAAGAAAATTCAAGAGTTGCTACAACTAAACCATTAGATGAACTTTTTACTAATGTCGGTCAAAAGTTTGAGACAGAGACCGTAAAGCATGAAGGCTATCGTTTTGACTACCCATTAAGATGGTTAAGAGACCATCTGTCACAAAAGCTATTGGCTTTCGTAGAATGAAGTTCATTTCAGAAGCATACATGGTTTCCCATTTACGGTCGGTTTTGAAGTTCGATACTATAACAAAGAAAAACGTATGTATGAGAAATTTGAACAGGGAAACTTTTACAAGTTAGTTTGCTTGTAAACTTAGAAACAACTCTTCAAGCTTTTCAAGAAAAAATAAACGATATCTATCTCGAATATGCAAAACAGTATAACATTGACGAGGGAGAGTACCATCTCGATATTATTTATGACAGGAAAAATGCAACTGTTAAAATCAATAGAATAGAAGACCTTGGAGAAAACGTTTATATTTCTACAAAATATAACAACTTGGCATGGTATAGATTTATGAGGATGTTAAATCAGCCTGCAGCATATCCAGTACACCCAGACTTTTATGAAGTCGAAAACCCTAATGGAACATATGAAAATGTTTTCGACCCAGATGCTATTATTGTTCATGCTTCATTTTCTGGCGCCCAAAACTCTTTCTTATGCTTGGCAAATGATTTTACAAAAACCTACAAAGTTATACGAACCACCAAGTGGAAGTATTTCAGACTTTCAAGTATGGTTTACTACAGATGGAAGAAAAAGAATAATTCCATTATACCATGCGTTTTACTTAGAACTTAGTTTCATATACAACTACTATCGAACGGTAAAAATATAATTTTTTAATACGGTTGAGGTGTTGGATTTGGTTGCAACTAGACTGTGGTGCAGGTTCAGGCTGTTGTATAACAGGAGCTTGTTCTTCTGGTTCAGGGTCTTTAGGTATAATACCAACAAACTGACCTACTCTTTTACCAATATTTTTGACTCCGTTCCAAATTCCTCTTCCTACGGTTTTTATTCCATTCCATATACCTCTTCAACTCTTCTGAAGAAGTTTCCAATACTACTGAAGAAACCCATTTTACTATATGTAAAAATCTAATGTCCGCCTAGTCTCTTACGTTTCCTGTTGAGTTCCATAGCATTCTTTAACTGGAGCTCATACATTCTGTTTCTCCTCTGGTAGAAAACATATTCTGGGTCAACTCCTGTGTTCGCGTCATCTGCATAAAGTTGTTTATATCCCACTTCAGGTTTGTATAAAACTCTTTCCATCTCATATTTGCATACCATGGTGGCAAACCTAACGCAGCGTCATTTGACATGGCAGTTTGCATTTGTACATCTGTTGGCACTTGACCATAGTTTGCCATTGCAGTTTGTATTCTAACTTCATTTGGAATATTCTCTGGGTTTGGTTGTCCAGGTTGCTGTGCATTCGCTAAGTTCTGTGCGTCATTTAATATTAGATAAAAATATCTCTTACGAGTACATATACTGAACATTTGCAGGCATTGGTTCATCTTCATATTCTCTGTACTTTTCTGCCACGTCAAAGAAATAAATGACACAATGGAAAAAACTTAAAACAAGTAGTCCGATTTCAAACCACATTTACTTACTAATAAAATTTCTTTGTTATGACACTTTCTCCAGTTTATAGGACCTCTCTCATATTCTATCTTGTCATATATAAACTCATAGTCATGTATGTCCTCTAACCATCTCATAACGGTTTCCAAACCACTTTTATCGGATGTAAAGTAAAAGCATGGATGGTTATGTAAAACGTCTAAAGTTTCTAAAGAGTCTCTCAAAGTCCAGTCTACTTGGTATTGAAAATCCCATGTGTTATAGAACGGCGGGTCCACTATAAAGAAAACATTTTCCTTGTCTTTATATTTTTCATACAAATCTGTCCAATGACATCTCACAAACTCTATACCCTCAATATATTTTTCTATGTCCTCTTTGAAAACATTTGTATAGTTAAGATATAAAACTTTTGACATAAGTGTTTCAATGTCATGAACTCTTATAGAAACTATATAATAGTCTAGCAGATATACTATCCCAGTCTATATATTCTGCTTTTTCAAAACCTCTCTCACAATATTTTTCTTATCTAATGGTATACGTTCCATCTTACCTATAGGTATCTTTTCTTTTAACTCTTTCAATATATTGTTTGTGTCTGGAATATGTTTGAGACGGTCCATATAGTTGTCGAAGTCATTGCATATAATCTTTGAGTCTGGGAATATTATATGGCACAAATGGGATATATAGAAACTTCCACCGAACAAATCTACAAATGTTAGACCATTCGGTAGTTTCTTAAGTTCTCTCAATATAATATCTTTACATTTACTCTTATTTCCAAAGAACGGTAACGGTGGTTTTGTAAAATTCATTTATATATAATAATAAAAATGTTTTTTCCTGAAAAGTGACAGAAAAGTGACAAAACATTTACGAAGAAATCATGAAAATTCAAGAGGGTAGAAAAGAGGTTAGAAAAGAGGTTAGATCTAACCTTCTACCCTAAATTATATTTTTGGGTCCTTTACACTCATTACGAAGAAGAAGTCTTGACAAAACATTTACGATGAAATCATGAAAATTCAAGAGGGTGAGAAAACAGGTGAAAAAACGGGTGAGATCTCACCTCTTCACCTAAACATTATTTTTGGGTCCTTTACACTCATTACGATGAAGTCTTGACAAAACATTTACGTTCATGTTTGACAAAACATTTACGTTCATGTTTGACAAAACATTTACGAAGAAGTCTTGACAAAACATGTACGTTCATGTTTGACAAAACATGAAAACATATATAATTTGTGAAAAGCTCCTGGAAGACCCGTATATATAAGAACTTCATTTATAATAATCATCTTCAGGGCTAGAAGGCACGAAGTGCCTGGAAGCCCCACTACCTTTTTTTTTTTTTAATTGCAATTGAAAAAATGTAAAAACGCATCACAAAGCGTTTTATATAATTTAGTATCACATGAATCAAAAATTCTGTATTAAACGATTATTTAGATTCAAAAATTCAATTGTCCTAATCGTCTCAATTTTAGTACTCTTTTATTATCTGTATATCAGATTATAATAAATATTTCATTAACTTTTCTATTGTCAAATCAAATATATTCTGACAATTATTTTTACAAAAATAAATCAACAATTCTTCTCACAAGGTATAAAAATCCGATTTTGGTTTCAATTGAATGTGAAAACTTTTGAAGCAATTTTATATGAATTGATTTATCTGAAGAAATTTTATCAAAAAATCGTTCGTAACTTCCAAGTAATTAAATTTTTTACTAGATGTAACTAAAATGAAATAAGAAATGATTAGTAAAATATCATGCTTTGCTAGCTTGCCATTTACTGATTTTAGTGTATTCATCACTGATTCTGCAAGTCATCAATAAAATATCCTATTATAAAGATATAACATATATATTGAAGTTAAAAAATAACATTAAGAGTATAACCGCAATCTATTTGGAGTAGTATTCATGTTGCTAGATTTATAGTCCTCAAAACAGATTTGATACATTTTCGTATAGCGCTGTTGGTAATTTACAGATACGAAATTATAAAATAATCGATATTTATCTTATGACCATTTCATCCATGCAGTCAGCAAAGTGTCTCATTTTTTGATAAAAATAAAATCGCTCCAAATAAAATGAAGTAAACTATTGAAAAATACTTTTTTTTGTTTTAAATAATGAGTGAGGAGGTAACTGTCCGCATCCTCTTCCCACAGACTAATTTAAATGTTGTTGAGCATAATTTTAATATTGATAAAGAGGTAACAGCTATTTTGGAATACGCTATTCAGTGTTTTCCAGACAAAGTTTTGCCATCAAGCCAAATCTACGTAAGTAATGATCAACACTTATACGATTTTATCTCCCCAGAAACCAAGATTAATGATCTTAAGTATTCTCAGCAACAGCAAATGCTCGTTGTTCCAGAATCGTATTCAATTACAATTCAAGACCCATTAAACAGAACTATCTCGATGAGCATCAAGTCCAATTTCTTGGTAAGAGAAATCGTTCGTACAGTTTGCGTACAAAGCCAATTACTCGATCCAAGATTTTATGTCATGACAGCAAAGAATGTTGTATTAGATCAGGATGGTACATTTGCTGCTCAGGCTCCATTCGCTTCACAGTTCAACCTTACAAGGCTCGAAACTGACCAGCTTTGCCAATTACTTCAGTCAGATTTCATTTCTGGCACATTATCATGCACGGACAAGGATATTCCTTACGTTATGGCCTCATTCCTTCTCAAGCAGAACGGTCCATACAAATCCTCCGATACGAAGCAAGTTTTAGAGGCAGAATTGGCCAAATTCGTCCCAAGATCAATTCAAGAGCCTAAGAAATTCATCAGCGATGCTGTATCAACATACAAGAAGCTCAAGGCTACAGATTCCTTTACAAATGACTTTGTTGACTATCTTCTCAATTATATCCACTTTATGTCAATAGTTGTCAACGCAGAGAGATACCAGGGCCTTATTGGCAAGAAGCCTTCGAAGGATAAAGTCACAATTTCCCTCGGTTACTCAGTTCTCAAATTTTATAAGCAAAATTCAACGAACTTCATCGATCAGTACAACTTGACTGCCATGAGGAACCTCCAAATGGAAGGTCTCGACTCATTCAAGTTCGAATACGACACTCCAAAGGGTCCAATTCAAGTTCGTTGCCAATCTAACGATGAAATGCAGAATATCTTCAATACAATTGTCGGCAGACTTAAATCTCCAGGTGCCAAGCGCGGTTCAGACACCCGCGGCAGCAGCGATTCCTTTGCTTCAGTTGCAATTCCATCATTCGCACAACTCTTCAGCTACTACTCAGAAATCCCACGTTTCGAGCTTTCCCAGATCACTACAAGAGTTATCCACCTCTTATTGTCCCATATTAAGACACAAAATGCAACTTTCGTAATGGACTTCCAACAGAACAAACAAACCGACAAATCTTACTTTCAATGCGTCCGTCTTACAGCTTCCATCTGCAGATTGATCGACGAACAAACCGCAATGAACTTATATACAGATCTCGAGAATTTAACAACTACCGATGCTAACTACTACGAGACCTTATCCGAGCGTGAACATTTCGCCCAGAAAGTTATGTCCTCCAAGGCTTCAAAGTCCGAACAAAAAACATTTGCCGCTCAGATGCAAACTTTGAACCAAAAGTCACAAGATGCCCACCAGGAACTCGAAAACGCCATAAAGAAGTTCACGGAAACCCTTCTCAAGGCTCACGAACACATTGGCGAGATGATCGAAGAAAAGTCACAATTTGTCCTTCGACCATTGGCCATTTCCTGCATAAGGTCAATCCTCTATCTCTTGTTCGTCTACTACTGGATTAACGAAATGTCAGATATGAGGTCAACAATTCAACAGATCAAAGACACATTATTGCAGATCATCGCCGATTTCGAGAACATCAACTGCTACAGTGTCGAATACAAGACTCTCACAGAACATTTCGCAGTTTTAGTCCAATTATCTAAAGATGCCATTACTCACGCCAATTCTTACGATCCGAGCGAGCCAACACGCCAGTACTTGATCATCACAGCCACAGCCATGCACGATGAAGTCGAAAAGTGGAATAAGGAATTATTAACTTATTTCGAGAAGAATCCACCGAAAGAGCTCTCAAAGCCACTGGACAAGATCGAGAAGATCGTTCCAGATGAGACACGTCAACAGTTGAAGCTCTCACACCAGATTCTTGAAGAATTATCTGGAAATATCGACAATCTCAACGAAGCTGAAGACAAATTGAAGAAACTCTCCGTATTCATCACAACAATACTCGGAATGGCCCCAGAATCCACTCACGAGCCTTGCATCATCGCTTTCAACGAAGTAAGAATTGATGTCGAACGATCATTTGTCAAAAACGGAATGTACAATGCATCAGCCTCATGTGAGCGTTGCACAGCCGCCCTTGATGCAGCCTTCCAGTCCGTAAACCCAGCAAATGACCTCAGACAGCAATTGACGCAATTCCCAATTGACGATGCCCGTGTTTTGGCTTTGTTACCAATTGTTGATTATCTCGACCAGAACGGTCCACTCTACCAAGGCTCATCTACACAGGTGGACATTCAGAGGTTCATTATGCAGATGACATTGGCGAAGACGGAGACATTAGTTGAAATTGCATTTACTGTTGAATCTCATGTTCCTGAGAATTTGAGACATTTAACAGAAGTTTGCGATCCAACGAAAGACTTGTATCCGGAAGTCGACAGCGAAATGGACATCCATCAATTGGCAACACAGGCGAAACAGAGTTCATTGGATGCAGTCAATTCCGCACAAAACATCAGACAAAACGTCAGAGAGTTCGAAAGAGAGTGTTCTAAGAAATACAGGACATTGAACACACAGTTGTGGAGAGTCATGAACATATTCAGACAGTACGCAATTGACGAAGACCCAGGAACAGTCGGCCACAAGACTTTCGAACAGTGCAGAGAAGCATTCAGAATTTTGATAGAAGAAACCGCTTTTGACATGAAACGTGACAGATCATTTTTACCATTTATCCAAGAATTCACTGACAAAGTGATGGCAGTCACTGAATCCCCACGCAGACCAAAGACACTCGGAGCACTCTGCGTCTTCTTGTTGTCACAGCAGACAAGACAAGGATTCTACGAAGCTGCAAGAGCTTTGGCAGATTTCACTCATTTCGTTCTTTGCGAAGATTCGAACAAGGCAGCGAGAAAACTCGTCGAAGACAGCCAGACAGAGTACGAGTTCAGAACAACAACAATGATGATCTCGCAGCTGAAGAACAGACTCATAAACGTAAAGAACAAAGTCGATCTTTCAATGAAGGCAAAGACACAAATCGATATCAGAAAGTCTCATGTCGATTTGAGATCAGATTTCGCTACATTTATCACAAAATTCAATGAAAACATTTTCTTTGTTTTCACACAAATGGTCGCAATGAAGATCAGAAACATCGCTGCTATTCAACAGCTCGCAACAGGTGTAGAAGCGATTGAGAAAGACCTTCCTTTGGTTATGTCTATCGAATACTCCGCTCCTTACTTCTCTAGATCTGTCTGCGGAATTGTTTTGTACTCTATGGACCAGATCATCAACACTGCAAAGGAAATGAACAGTGGAAAGACCGTCCAGTGCACAAACGACGCACAGTTGGCTGTTAGAGAGTTCTTGTTCATGATTAGAAGAAAAGTTGCTGAAGCTGATGAAGAATCAAACAGAGCTCGCCGCGGTATTGGTATTCCAGATATGCAGGCTGTTATCGATAGAGAAACAAAGGCTATGAATGCTGCTGCTGATTTCCAGAGATCAATAAGAAAGAGACAATGGACAGTGAAGTAAAAATTCATTTTATAATTTCACTTTTTTAAAAATTCATAACAATTTTTTTTACTGGTAGTTCTATAAGTTATCTATACGAGTTGATCTATTTTTTCTTATACAATAGAATATGGATGTCTGAATTCATATATTGCAATATACTATACAGGTCAAATAAGATGATATTAGATAATATCGGTTTTGACTAATATTTTTATTAAATTTAGGTTAGCCAATTATGGGAAACCAGGAATTCAATCAATTTGTATACATATTCAGAATTAATATTTTAGATATTATTAGTCATATTCTAAATGTGAATACAACCTTGCTAATAATGTGGAAAACAGGATTTCGCCCTATGGGACCTATAGCAGATTTTTGATTAGATGAATATTCTAAGAGAAACAAGCTTTGGAAAAAAATTTCATAGAGAATTTTTTTTCTCACATTTCTCTCAATTTTTTGACACACATCATTTCTAACCTAATATTCTAAGGTCGAAAGTTAATATTTTTGGTCAGGAGAAAGTAAATATGAATCACTATATAGTACCTAATATGACTGTTATACTTTTCTGCTATTAAAATAAAGATATATTGATTTTTTCATAGCATGTGAGAAATTGGTAAGTGCACCCTTAATTTTAATTTTTATTCTAAAAATTCGACTTATTCTGTCAATTCTAATTACAATCTTTGCCAAGTTCAAGCGTAGTCAACTTAATTCAACAATTAAACCAATTCCACACAACCCAAAAATCAGATTATCGTTCATGTTTTCATATTTCATTTGTCTCAAAATTGTACTGACAGATTAGTATATCCTTCTAACTACCAAATAACCAATAGTAGATCAAACTATATACCAAGTAAGATACAATATGGTCAAAAGATTGATTTTAATAAAAACTTTTATTATATTATATACTGAAGCATCTTTTATGCAAATGAATTCAATCTAATTCTCTTACTGCATAGAAATTATATTCAAAACCATAGCTAGATGATAGTTTCTGAAGTCATAAATATATTCTCCGTTTGCGATAAATGCGTCTATCAGGACACTCTATTTTTCTCGATCACAGTTCCTCAATGGTATCAAAAAATTTTAAGGTTAAGAGTTTCCATACCTTTCTCTTATCATTAAAAAAGTTCATAATCAGATATCATGATCAAAGCTATTACTATTCTAACGCAACATAAAATATATATACATGATATAGTTTATGATGACTTTTAAGCTAATTAGCTCTTATTCATATGTTAATTCTAGAAATACGTGTAAATAAATAGGTTTATCGGCAATTTTACATGTATTTCAGGACAAAAATGATACATCATAATTGGCTAATAGTAGCATAGATTTCATCCATATGCCAAACGGGGCTGAAATTCGTGTTTTTTAAGATCTCAAGATTTAGAAATCTCGGATAAAAACTTAATAAATCATATGTTCTGCTATGCATTCACATTATCACCATATTTCTACGCATATTGTGTCGCATAAATAGCTATTTATTTTAAACAGATATCGCAGAAAATCGGGGAAAAAAACCTCAATGATAAAAAAATTTTGGTGTCAGATTTTCCTCCTACTCTTACGTTTCTACAGAAAATGGAGTAACTATAAATTGAACTTATAATCTACAAAACATTTATTGACAAAATTTTGATTTTAAAGAAAGCGTCGAAGATAGCATGCATTGATAATTCATCATAATTATCATTTTTGCTGCAATTTACAAAGATATTGACTCAAGATTCTATACGAATGATGGAAAAACGCTTAATAAAGTTAATGATTCATCATCTAACCTTAGGATATCGGCTAGATGCGAAATTATATCAAGTGAATGCTTTAAAAATTTAAAAACACTACAATCTTTTTCATTTGAAGAAAATTCGAACCTAAAAACAATTGAATTTCAAGGTTTTTATTATTGTACCAATCTTAGAATTATTAATTTATCATCATGCACAAAACTTACAACAATTTCTTTATATGCATTTTCTTATTGTAGTAGAGTTACTGAGATACTTCTACCAAATGGACTTAAAGAAATACAAAAATATGCTTTTCAAAAAGAATCTGATATAACCACTATTATAATTCCTTCATCTGTTGAAACAATAGGTTATCGTGCATTTGAAAGCTGTTCTAATCTAACAAATGTTACTTTTGCTGAAGGTTCGAATTTAACTTCTTTAGAAGGAGAAGTTTTTTCTTACACTAACATTTCTTCTTTTGAAATTCCAGCGAAAGTTAACAAAGTCAGTGGATCTACATTTGGTGAATATAAATTAACAAATCTCTCACTCAATTCTTCGAACGATTATTTAATTATCGAAAATAACGTTCTTTTTTCAAAGGATAAAAATATTTTATATTTAGCATGTCACAAATATATCGAAACATGTATAATTCCAGCTTCTGTTAAAACTTTAACAGAATATTGTTTTTCCAACCTAAAATCTTTAGAATCTTTTTCATTTGAAGAAAATCCTAACTTAACAACAATTGGAAAGGATAGTTTTTATTATTGTACCAATCTTAGTATTATTAATTTATCATCCTGCACAAAACTTACAACAATTTCTAATTATGCATTTTCTACTTGCAGTAAAGTTACTGAGATACTTCTACCAAATGGACTTAAAGAAATACAAAATAATGCTTTTCTAATTAATTCTTTAGTAACAACAATTAAAATTCCTTCATCTGTTGAAATAATAGGTTATAGTGCATTTGAAAGCTGTTCTAATCTAGCAAATGTTATTTTTGCAGAAGGTTCGAAATTAACTTCTTTAAAAGGATATGTTTTTTCTTATACTAACATTACTTCATTGAAATTCCAGAAAATGTCACAAAAATCGAACTAAATGCATTCAGTGGTTCCAAAATAACAAATATAACTATCAATCCGTCAAACACTTATTTTTCAATCGAAAATACGACTTTTTATGCTAATAAAAGCATTTTATATTTTGTTATTAACAAATCTTTGGAAAACTTCGTAATTCCAGAATTTGTTACAACTTTAGGAGAAAATTGCTTTTATGAATCAAAACTCACTTCAATAATAATCCCAAGTAGTGTCAAAAGAATTGAAAATTCTGCTTTCTCTAATTGCTATAATTTAATTAATGTTACATTTTTAGGTTCTTTAGATTTCATTGGTAGTGATATATTTTATAATTGCAGAAATCTTAACTTCATTAATTTCCCTAATTCATCAATGATTGTTAATTCAAATTCATTCATTTCATATTATATTCCAAAAGCAAACATGTCATTCACTCACAAAACTTTATTTTATTCGCGTGCAATTCAAAGAAATACAAATGTAAATGTTTCATATCTGAATGAACAAAATCTTATTATTACAACAAATGCATTGATTATGAAATCTGATCAAACAATTATCTATGAATATTGGGGATACAACATCTATAGTATTACAATTCCTAACACAGTTAGAACAATCAAATCAAGTGCATTCGAAAATTCAACAGCATCAATTTGTTTTGAACAAAATTCACAGCTTTCATTGATTGAAAATAATGCATTTAGAAATTGTTTAAATCTAAATAAACTTGATTTTTCTTCAAACAATCATTTACAAACTATTGAATTTTCATCATTCAAAGATTGTTCTAATTTGGATGAAATAATTTTTTCATCACCCGATTTATATATAAACAACAATGCATTTGAGAATTGCATTAACTTAGAGAAAGTAATTAATATTTTGAATATTCCAAATCAATGTTTTTCAGGTTGTTCTAAACTGACGCAAGTTACAATTCAAGAAAATGCAAGAACTATCGGAGTTCGATCATTTGAGAATTGCAATTCATTAACTAGTATTATTATTCCATCAACTGTTAACATTATTTCAGAATATTCATTCGTTAACTGCAACAATCTTAAATCAATCACATTCTCACAAGAAAATTCACTTTCTATGATATTTGTTAATTCATTTTCTGGATGTGATTCACTTCAAAACATCAGTAACTTCGAATCAAATAAATATAAATGTATTGATAATACTCTTTACTTCAAAAATGATAAAAATCTTGATCTTATTTATCATTTGAGTCAATCATTAGATAAAGTGCTAATTGTCAATTGTACTATTATTTGCCGATATTCATTTAATCACAGCAACAATATTGTCAACATCAGTCTTTCACCAAACAGTGTTTCGTTGATTGAATCATATTCATTCAACAGCTGTTTAAATCTTAAATATGTTAATTTCCCTCTTAGTGTTGAAAATGTTTCATTTCTTGCATTCAATGAATGCAAATCTATTCAATGTCCTCTTTATATTGAGAACAAAACTACTGAATATCTTAAGATGATTGTCGAATCTGATATTTCTCCATATCTTATTATTAAATGTCGTGTTGTTCATGGTTCAAACAAACTTCAATGTCTTCGAACTTTATGTAATAAATCAGCTAAACTTTTCTTCCAACATCTTTCTAAATAAAAATAATTTTCAAAAGTTTCATACGTGTGAGGCTTTTATATAGCTTATGTCCATCCTTTTTTTTTGAAATATCATGCAATTTTTTTTATTTTGAAAATAAATTATATGAGAGATAGTTGAGCCTAGGCTTCTGCAAACTGGTTCGCTTTTTAGAAAAAATTTACTTTTTTAGCACTTTTCTTTCAATTTGACGCCCGTACGCGCCCGTAACTGGCTAGACATTTCATTTTCTAAGCCAGTTTGCAGAACCCTAGTTGAGCCAATTTAAATTTTTTAGGAGACTACTCACGTATCACCATAACAAGCTTCAATTTGAAATAAATTCGTCATAAAAACAGTTTTTGACATTAAATTAAGTGCTCCTATAATCATGTCAATCTTCTTCAAATCCAATATTAAGTACACATGCTAGAAATACAACATATCTTGAAGTCTTGATATTTAAATTTAATAAAGCAAATAACATAATATATACATTTATTCTAATAATAATGATCAGATTTTCTCGTTTCAGCTTCTTTAAAGAACTGAATCGGATGAGACATTCCTGCGTAATCCAGAGGATCTTCTTCAAACATCCCATCAAAGAACAGTTTGCAAGCAATCTGTGGATGTTCAGGAACTTGTTCACAAATTTTAGAAATCACTTCATTTTTGATTTTTCTTCCCATTTTCTTTATGTACATCTTTAGTTCAGCTCTCATCATATATCTGAACGGACATCCTTGTACTTGGTATGGATTTTCTGGATTGTCTTGTCCGATCAAAGCGATGCAACTGTGGGGTTGGTATTTCTTCTTGTTCCCGTCAATACAATAGATGTATTTCAGAGAAGGAACAATTTGTTTGTCAAATAAATCTGGATTTTTCGGAGAAAAAAAATGTTTCTTCCAAAAAATATATTGTGAGAAATAATCGAACCCGAGTCCTTTAAGGAACATACAGAGCTCAAATCTGCCTTTAACTGACAGTTGTGATGACTTTTTCAGCGAATCTAAAATTCGATAAATACAAGGAGGCGCAGATCGATGGCAGAGCTCTTCGTAGTTGTCTAATGTAAGTATCTGATCATCTTCGCTCTTTGTAACTCGCTTAAATTCTGATCTGAGGTAACTTATGAAATCAAGATTCGAAAACTCGGCGGAATGTAGCTTTTTTACAAGGAAATCGTTGAAGTTCTTTTGGACAATCTGATATACGTGATCTGTAGTCAGTTTAGCAATGCCGTTTTCAACATCAATAGTTCTGACATCGATTTGATCGAAAATTTGTTCGAAAGGAACACAATAGTAATCATCTTTCTGCGAGTTGATGATTTGATCTTTCAGTTCTTTACTTGGCCAAAAGAAATCAGGAATTTGTTTTGGAGAAGAGTAACTGAGCTTTAGTCTATAAAAGAACAGTCGTGATTCATAGTCTGCAAGTTTTGTTTGCTGTTCTTCGGTTTCTGTGTAAATCATAAGTAGAGAAAAAAACGAAATTTGATCTTTTGTTTGTTCTCCATCAGTTTCTGATGCTTCTTTTAAAGGAATATCATATTCTAGTGATAGAGATCTGATTTTTGAGAACTCTACAGTCTCTTGCGATTCTTCAAACTCTAATAATCGATGAAATTGAAATCTTTTCTCAGCAATTGATAAAATTTCTTCAAAAGACAACTGCATGGATGGTATTGTTTCATAAGTAGGTGCATATAAGCTAGCAGTTTCTTCAATTTCTTTATGCTGAAATAAAAATCTTCTCTTCATTCATTTTTTTATAAGAATTATTCACTACGAACTTCCTCGACGATTATTTTTACTTCCTCGTTTTGTCACTTTTTCATTATGATTGATCAATATGTAAATCAGCCTAGCCAAGAAGAAAGGCAAAGCGTTTATGAAAAATCAATTTTTTTCTCATGTCAGAAGATTGTTCAGAAGAAAACTAACGATAAAGCAACAAGTAGCTATATTAATTGCTTGTCTTCTTTAGTTTCGCAATATATCACTCAAATAATGGTAAGAGATTTAGTTGATTTTGCAAAACATGCAGGAAGAAAAGAAATAACAGTTGATGACGTAATTTTACTTTCCAGAAAGATGCCAAAGACTTATCAACATCTTCAAGAATACAAGGAAAAGCACTTAGGTATAACTTCTAAGCCAAAGAAGTCCAAAAACTTGAAAAATATGCTCAAAGACTAAATTTTTACGAGAAACCAAGCCATTTTCGAAATGTTAGTATGTTTTGTTCGTTGTATATTAATACCCTTGCATGTTGAAGGAAATTTCTCCTTAAAAATACAATTTGTTAATAAAATCAATATTTCAAGCGATAAAGCTTTCAATATATATTAGTATCAATGTTTTTGCTAAGTTTGAATAAATACTTATTGTTGTTTATCAATTTTTTATCAAAAGATTCTGATATTTTTTTTGAATTATTGGAGCTATATGATATTATGAGTAACCATTTCTTTAATGCAGCTTACTTTGGCCAAGTATTATACTATTTAGCTTATATATGCAACTTGAAAATGAAATTTCCAATTCTAATAAAAATATCTGTATTAATAGTGAAATTGTATCCAAAATGTATTTACAATCAAGTGAACAATGTTTGTCAAAGTATTTTGGCCAGAGTCCATAACAGTATTTTGAATTTTTTTGACAAATATAGTTTATTTTCAAAATTTTATTATGATCGTTGTTACTTTATTGTTTTATCTATATTTCAAACATCACTTTCACAAATTATGTAAAGTGTTCTCAAAATTTTCAACAGATAAAAAAATTTGAAGAGAGAGGGTCAAAGTTGCTATTTGTCACTTTTCCACAAGAATATAATGGGGAAAAGTTATCATATAGTTGATCTCATTCACTGAGGTGAGAGATGCATGTAGTGTAATATGTAATGGGATAAACAGTGGGATTGCTGCTCTAAGTCCTAGGTTCGAGACACATTGGCTTCATTTTTCTCTTTTTTATTGACGTAAACTATTCAATTTTTGTGTTATCCATTCAAATTTCAGAATTTTTTTTGCAGATTTCACGCTACATTCGAAGTTACCTTTTGTAACAACCACCACCGCCTACGAAAGACGAAAGTGTGTCACGATTTCACCCGGAAATCCGACGGTTGTTTAAGAGTAAGCACTTTTGGCACCTACTCAAAATTTGAAATGAAAGTATTCAAAATTCCGAATCTGATAGCAATTACGCTTTAAAAAAGACTGTAATGATATAATTTAACCATATATTAATTCCGATGGCTTTTTTAATTGAATTATAGGAAGAAAAGGTGACATACTTTTATGGAAGTTGATTTAGTAATTCCATCGAACCAGGTTCGCATTTATATGTGGGAATTCGCACAGGATGACAGCAACCTCACCATTACAATTGACTTGCATGAAGAAGATCCTCAAACATTCACTGCAAATTATTCAAAAGACGATAACACTCTTAAATGCACATTAAAGGGAGCTAAATACCCAATTGTCAATGGTATCTTGCACAAGGCAACAGATTCCATGGACAAGACGATCGATGGCAATACAGTTGTTCTTAAATTACACAAAGTTGAAAATGGCAACTGGTCATACCCAATTGAGTCACCAGTTGCTGGCGAATCCGATATCGACTTCAACTCAGCATTCCTCAAATCCATCCAGAATCCAGAAAAGCCAGAAAACCAAGAAAAAATAAATAATCTCGTCAAAGCAGGCTTCATTCCAGCTATTATGTACAACGCAAAGAAATTAATTGATGCCGAAGACATTGATAAGGCTGCAGACCTTCTCGATAACATTGTTTTCGTAGAACCTTATTTACCAGCTGTTCTCTTACTCGGTGAAGCCTATATGACAAAGAGTCCAGGTATGGCTGTCCACTGCCTTCAAACAGGCTACAGATTAGGCAGCAAGAGAGCCGCAAAATTGTTGGGAGATCTTTATTCTCCAGTTTCCGAATACAAGTCAAACAAAGACGCTGACATGTCCTTGACCTACTACAGATACGGAATCGAAGATAAGGATCCTCAATCAATGGTTGCTGCCGCTCAACTTATTGAATCCGGATTAGGTCCAAAGACAAACATTTTAGAACCAGACGAGTTATACGAAGAAGCCAAAGCTATCGATCCTACAATTGTCATTCCAAAGAGACACAAGGAAGAGCCAAAACCAGTAGAACAACCAAAACCAGTCGAACAGCCAAAACCAGTAGAACAACCAAAACCAGTAGAACAACCAAAACCAGTAGAACAACCAAAACCAGTCGAACAGCCAAAACCAGTAGAACAACCAACACCAGAACCAGCTCCAGAACCAGAGCCAAAACCAGAGCCACCTGTCGCTCCAGAACCAGAACCAGTCCATGAAGAACCAGAACCAGAACCTCCAGTTGTTAAAGAATTAATTCGTAATTACCCTTATCCAGATGATGAATATCCGACAATTAATACAAAAGCAATGATTCTCACTGGTATTGCTGGAGCTGCTGTTTTGGTCGGAGCAATAATCATCATCGCAAAGAAACTCATGAAGAAATAAAATATATTTTTATTATTTCTCATCAAATATATAAAATATCCCACATAAGGTCGCCAAAAAAAGTGCGGAAATTAAAAACCGCAGTTTGAGTACTTTCTGAGTGTCTGTTCGTCAGAAAGTATGCATTTGTAAACTTTCTGACACTAAAAAAATTTTGATCCTTTCAAAGTTTTTGACAATGTCAAAAAGTATACATCGAGGTTCTCAATTTTCCTCTCAATTTTTCATCAACCAAAAATCTACTACAAGGCTCATGAAAGGACTTATTTATCGAAAAGTTTTCTTGTTTCATGAAATAAATCTGTCCATTTTTACTGAGATATTAATTTTCTTATAAATAGAAATCGATATTTAAAAAATCATTTACGAAAAATGATCTTTTCTTTTTTCGTCATTCAAAAAAATCCATAAAAATATTTGAAAAAAAAGTAATTTTTATGCAAATGTCGACTTTTAAAATGCAATTTGTAAAATACGACTTTCAGTGGAATTATTTTAAAAAGTGACTTTAAATTTAAATTTTTTAATGTCTGATTATGGCATTAATGAAGATAAATATAATAAATTTCAACAAATCTGTAGTGACTGCAATAATTTGTATATTTCGTTATATCAATTAAAAACGGAAAATGAAAAAGAATTGCACTCGATTTACGAAAAGATCAAAACAATTTTAATTGATTCAAAGCAATATTCACCTCAAAATATTATATGCGACATTTTAAACATTGTTCCGTATAACAACCGCTACATAAAGTCATACTTGGAGCTAGCGAAACTCATATCTGATGACTATCATGTAAATGAAGTCACAAATATTCCCTACATATCTAATTTCATGTTTTATAACGACTACGGAATTAAATTATGCAAAAGTCAAGATTTTATGAAAATGGATAAAAAAAATCACGAAATTCTAAAAGAAAATAAAATTTGCAAAGCAATTATAAATAATGATCGAGAAAGGTTCATCTCATTCACAGAAAGTGAAAGATTTAATGAAGATAAAAAAATTAGAACCCACTTACATCCATATTCTTACATAAAATATGGAATCAAATTAGATAAATCTGAGGATTTTGAAATAATTAGTTCAGAAGAACTCGAAATTCATACAGAAAATACGATTTACAGAGCAATTATGTATAATAACTTAGAAACATTTATCCAATTCACAGAAATTGACGGATTTGATAAAAATCAAACACTTAAAAGCTATTTATATCCAAAATCTAGAAAAGGATATTCATTACTTGAATTGTGTTGTTATCACGGAGCAGTTGATTGTTTCAAGCTTTTAAGAACGAAATTTAACTCAAAAATAACTCAAACATGTCTAGAATTTTCATTTTTAGGAGGAAATCCCGATATCATGAGTGAATGTTTGAAATATCAACAACCAGGTAAAGAATGCATGGATTATGCAATCATTTCACATAACATTGATTTTGTTACATTCTTAATGAATGAATACAATCTTAAGATTGATTTAGAATCATGCGTAAAATATAAAAATCTTGAATCATTTTTTGTTGTTTTCGATCAAACTAATGATGCTGATATTTGCTTTTATTATTCAATTAATTTTAATGTCCCTTTGCTTTGTGAATATTTTCTTCCATATTGTTCAAATATCAACAAAAAATATATAAATAAGCAAACAGCTCTTCATTCTGCAATAAGAAATCAAAGTGACAATATGGTCGAATTACTTCTTTCACATGGAGCATGTGTCAGTGAAAAAGATCTATTTGGGAAAACAGCTCTTCATTATGCAGCAGAATATAACTGTGAAAGAATAGCCGAACTTCTTATTTCACATGATGCAAATGTCAATGAGAAAGATAATTCTGAACAAACAGCTCTTCACATTGCAGCAGAATATAATAGAAAAGAAACAGCCGAACTTCTTCTTTCACATGGTGCAAATGTCAATGAGAAAGATAATTCTGAACAAACTGCTCTCCACATTGCAACATATAATAATAGAAAAGAAACAGCCGAACTTCTTATTTCACATGGTGCAAATGTCAATGAGAAAGATAGTAATAGAGAAACAGCTCTTTATATCGCCACAGAAAAAATTATATTGAAATAACTAAACTTCTTCTTTCACATAGTGCAAATGTCAATGAGAAAGATAATTCTGAACAAACAGCTCTTCATATCGCCACAGAAAAAAATTATATTGAAATAACTAAACTTCTTCTTTCACATGGTGCAAATGTCAATGAGAAAGATAATTCTGAACAAACAGCTCTTCATATCGCCACAGAAAAAATTATATTGAAATAACTAAACTTCTTCTTTCACATAGTGCAAATGTCAATGAGAAAGATAATTCTGAACAAACAGCTCTTCATATCGCCACAGAAAAAAATTATATTGAAATAACTAAACTTCTTCTTTCACATGGTGCAAATGTCAATGAGAAAGATAATTCTGAACAAACTGCTCTCCACATTGCAACATATAATAATAGAAAAGAAACAGCCGAACTTCTTATTTCACATGGTGCAAATGTCAATGAGAAAGATAATTCTGAACAAACTACTCTCCACATTGCAACATATAATAATAGAAAAGAAACAGCCGAACTTCTTATTTCACATGGTGCAAGTGTCAATGAGAAAGATAGTAATAGAGAAACAGCTCTTTATATTGCCATAGAAAAAAATTATATTGAAATAACTAAACTTCTTCTTTCACATGGTGCAAATGTCAATGAAAAAGATAAAGATAAACTAACAGCCCATTCAACTTGCAAGATATTTTAATTGTAAAGAAGCAGCCAAACTTCTTATTTCTATGCAAACACGTGCGAGACCCAATGGTAACTTTCCACGGACACTGCAGTGACATTTTTAATTAATTTGAGAAAAATTGGATTAAATTTTCTTTTTATTATATCTTAATTTATACTTTAAAGTAAAAAATATTATTGAGGGTTTAAGCAGCCGGCCAAATAAACAATAATCGATATGAAAAATTAAAAAAAACAGTAAATATGTTGTATTTGCTGATGTAAAACATGTTTATAGTGATCAAAATTGAATTTTTATAATTTCATCAGAAATTTGGGCGGCCACTTTAATTGTCAAAATTTTGAGAAGTGTTAAGAGAAAGAAATTTCAATTCATTTTTATATTATGTCTGCTATTGGTATTGATCTTGGTACAACATACTCATGTGTCGGTGTATTCCGTCACAATCGTGTAGATATTCTTGCCAATGATATGGGTAACCGAACAACTCCATCATACGTTGCTTTCACAGATGACGAAAGACTTGTTGGTGATGCAGCTAAGAACCAAGCTGCTATGAACCCACAGAATACAGTTTTCGATGCTAAGCGTATGATCGGCCGTAAATTCTCAGATCCAGTTGTCCAGAAAGATATGAAGCACTGGCCATTCAAGGTCGTCCGCAGTGATGGCGACCGTCCAAAGATTGAGGTCCAGTTCAAGGGTGAGACAAAGCAGTTCTTCCCAGAAGAAATCTCAGCCATGGTCCTCGGCAAGATGAAGGAAACAGCTGAGAACATGCTCTCCGAAAAGATTACAGATGCTGTCGTTACAGTTCCAGCTTACTTCAACGATGGCCAACGTCAAGCTACAAAGGATGCTGGTGTTATCGCTGGCCTCAACGTCCTTCGTATCATCAACGAGCCAACAGCCGCTGCTATCGCTTTCGGCCTTAACGAGAAGTCCGATAAGGAACGCCACGTTCTCATCTTCGATCTCGGTGGTGGCACATTCGATGTTTCCCTTCTTGATATCGATGGTGGCATGTTCGAAGTTCGTGCTACAGCTGGTGATACACACCTTGGTGGTGAAGACTTCGATTCACGCCTTGTTGATTACTTCGCAGATCGTTTCCAGAAGAAGTTCAAGTGCGATCTCCGCGAATCACCACGTGCTTTGAGAACACTCAGAACAGCTTGCGAGCGTGCTAAGCGTACAATCTCTACAGCTGCTAACGCTTCCATCCTTTGCGAGTCTCTCTACCAGGGCCACGATTTTCAGGATACAATTTCTCGTGCTATGTTCGAGAACTTGAACGATGAACTCTTCAGATCCACACTTGGTCCAGTTGCCCAGGTTCTCAAGGATGCAAAGATGTCAAAGTCCGATGTCACAGATATCGTTCTTGTCGGTGGTTCCTCACGTATTCCACGTGTCCAGCAGCTCCTCCAGGAGTTCTTCAACGGCAAGCAGCCATGCCGTGGTGTCGACCCAGATGAGGCCGTCGCTTACGGTGCTGCAGTCCAGGCCGCCATCATCAAGGGCGATAACTCCGATGCAGTCAAGGATATCTTACTTCTCGATGTCGCTCCACTTTCCCTTGGTATTGAGACAGCTGGCGAAATCATGACAGTTTTGATCCCACGTAACACAACAATTCCAGCCAAGAAGTCAAACATCTTCACAACATTCGCTGATAACCAGCCAGCAGTTACAATCAAGGTCTACGAAGGTGAGCGTACAAGAACACGCGACAACAACCTTCTTGGTACATTCGATCTCACAGGCATTCCACCAGCTCCACGTGGTGTTCCACAGATCGAAGTTACATTCGATGTCAACGCTGATGGTATCATGAACGTTTCTGCTCAGGATAAGTCCACAGGTAATGTAAAGAAGATCACAATTAAGAACGACAAGGGCCGTCTTTCCCAGGCAGATATCGACCGTATGGTTTCTGATGCTGAGAAATACAAGGCTCAGGATGAAGAAGCCAAGAAGAAGATCGAAGCTAAGAACGGTCTCGAAGGTTACTGCTTCGGTGTCCGTAACTCTGTCAACGGCGAACTCGGCTCTAAGATTGCTCAGGCTGACAAGGATGCCATTCTCAAGATTGTCAATGACACACTCGCTTGGATCGAATCCAACCAGGACGCTTCCACAGCTGACTACGAAGCAAAGCAGAAGGAAGTCGAAGGCCAGTTGATGCCACTCATGCAGAAGGCATACCAGTCCGCTGCTGGTGGCGCCGGCGGAATGCCAGGTGGTGTTGACCCATCTATGTTCCAGAACATGGGTGGCGCTGGTGGTGCTGCTCCAGGTGCAGGCGCTGCTCATCCATCCTCTGGCTCTGGCCCACGTGTTGAGGAAGTTGACTAAGAATCCAATTAATTCTAATTTCTTGTAAACATTCTTTTTCTATGCAATTGAAAAAAAAAAGTTTTTTTTTACACAAGACATTTAAAGTAATTTGTGAATGTTTTAATTCAAAAAGATCAATATCTCCTTTCTTTTTTCACAATAATCATTAATATCCAGCAAAGAATGATTCTTTTGCTTTTTACTGGCTTTATTTTCTCAAATTAAACATCTAGAAGATTACATATAAATCGATTTTTACTACATGATTAAAAGTAGATCTATGTTTTTATCGTTTTTGGCTTTATTTATCATTTGATGGATTCCTTAATTCATTAAGCAGGTATTGATTGTATTTATCGACAAAGGACATTTGCGTCTCGTGGGATATGAAGCTCTGTGATTTCATTATAAGAAAATGATTTGTTCTCTGCTCCATGTGAGATTAGAAAATCTGAAATTTCTTCATTATTATAATTTTCTGCATAAAAAAGAGCCGTATGGCCACCTTTGTCTTTTGCATTGATATCAACGCCATGTAAAATAAGAACTTCGGCTGTTCTTACGCTATTATCGATTGCTGCATAATGAAGAGCAGTTCTTCCGTACACATCCTTTTTATTGACATCAGCACCATTTGATATAAGAAATTCTGCAATTGCAGGTGAATCATAACCTGAGCAGCAATGAAGGGAGCATCCATTAAAATCTCCACCAAGAGATGGTACATATTCATAAATTGAAACAATATTAAAACTCATTGCTGGTTTCTTACACATTATTTTATCTTCAATGTTGTTGATACCAACTAAAAATGCAGGAATATTATTGTATTTCAAACAATCATTGATATGATTCCATTTAATTTCAATATTGTATTCATTCATCAAAAAAGTAACAAAATCGATATTGTGAGAGATGATTGCATATTCCATGGACCACCAATCTGGTTTTTGATATTTCAAGCATTCATTCAAAATATCTGGATTCCCACTTAAAAATGAAAATTGAAGGCATTCTTTTGTAATCTTCGAATTGAATTTTGTTCTTAATAGCTTGAAGCAATTAACTGCACCATAGTAGCAGCATAATTCAATCAATGTGTATCTGATTGCTCCAATATATGGATAGAAATAACTGTAAATTGTATCAGGATTGAATGGACTTTTAAAAATTTGATTTTTGTCAAATCCTTCCTTTTCTGTAAATGAGATATATAGCTTGACATCATCATCCATAATTGCTTTAATGATTGTGTTTGATTCTGGAAAATCTAATGAGCAATTTAAAGTTTTAAAATATTCAAACTTTTTCTTATTCTCTTTATCAAAAATAATACCATATTCTTCATAAACAAGATAGTCAAATAGTGGAGAAATGGAAACAATCTGTTTTGGATGATATTCTTCAAAGATCTTTTTGAATAAGGACCAATACGATTTAATGTAACGATTATTGTAATATAATGCAATGGATATCATTAAAATGACCTTAGCTGGAGAAATCAACTTTGTTTCAATAAGTTTTCTCTTGATGTTTTTGTACATATTGTCAATTTCAACTTCGTCTGATGTTTTTAGTCTGTATATCTCCCTGACAGTGTCAATATAGTCTTTATTTGATTCCATCAGCTTGATACACTTATCATTAACCATTATATAACTGAAATGATAAGAGTGAAACAAAAACTTATCAAATGTCACTTTTGAATTACGTTTTGAAAATTTTTGTGTAATAATCAAGTATAATAATTATATATCAGTTTTTTAAAAATACTTTTTAAGAAAAGTGACAGAGATCAAGTCTGTCCCTGTCTCTTTCTGAAATCAGTCCTCTCAATTTTGATAAAAAATATCGGATATTAAAAAGTATATATTTTATGTTATATTTGTTTTTAAATAAATTTACGTCTTGCTTCAACGATTTTTTTGACAGTTTTTCAATTAGTCAATTCAAAAATTGATGAAAGAAATATTAATTAGCAGACGAACTATGGTATAAAGTAATGAAATCCAAAATATGTGATCTAAACTTCTGTCTAAACCGTATAGAATGAAAAACCTGATAGAATTGCTTTAGAAAACTAAAAGAAATTGCAAATGTGTATCGAATCATTCAATAGCATTAAATATAAATGGGAAAAGGCCAATAGTAAGTATTCTATTTGGATAAAAATTAGATTATATTGAAGATATAAATTTAATTTATTCTCTTTCATCAAAGAACCAAATTAGCTAATGTGACAAAAAGTAATGAACAGGTAATTTGGTACTTTGCCAAACATGTGCATTTTTTTAAACTAATAATTGTGATCCGTATCGCGCCTCGATTCTTGTTTCCAATAGACCATTTGTCGGTACTAGATTGATAATACAGAGGCATATCGTTATTACCTTGGATCATTATCGGATTAAAAAACTTTATTCCGGAATAATGTATTGATGATCTTGTCGGACTCGGATTTTCGTTTAGAGAGCTATTTAAAGCTACACAACCTTCATATCCTGAAATAAAAGAGCTTCCTCCACCACCAGCGCCTGCTAAATCGATTGATCCACCACTATAATATCCATTTCCTCCAATCCCTCCTATATCAATAGAAGTATAATTCACAGGAGAAATTCCAAACAATCCAGGATAACCAACTAAATTTCGAAATGTAGGAGCAGCACTTCCACCGGCAATCTGTGTTCCTCCTCCTGAAATTGAGTTAGGACAATCGGTTCGAAGTACGGATTGACAATTAGAGTATCCTTTTCCTCCTTCAAGACCGCCGCCGTGGCCACCTCGAGAATTAGGCCACTCGGAGCCCCCGCCGCCCCCAGCTACTAGGATTCGTGAGCGGAGGGAGAGAGGATCAGACCAATCAAACGTTTCATTCGCATACAATCTCACATCGGAAGATCCGCCCCCAATTCCAAAGAAATGAATTGTTTTCGGGTAATATTTAAACATGGAATTAAAATATGAAATGGACCCGATATATAGATACAGAGTCAAAGAACTTTTTACTTCAAGAACGCCTGAGGAATATCATCCAAGGCCAGGAATCGCGTTGCCATATGATGTTTCTTGAAATGATCCGGCAGAGCCCCAAGCTTCAATAAGATATGCACCACTTTGTAAATGTACAGTATAAGGTGTGCAAGCTTCTAAACTATCGCCACATGGGTATCCAAACGTGTACTGATTTTCATGTACTGTTACATTCTCTGTGTATACTGAAGTCTTGGATAGTTTGTAGTTGATCGTTATGATTAATTATTATATTCAAAGAAGGAAATGAATGTGATCTTTTTTGAAAACTTGTTTTAAGGAAATTTGAATATTAAATAATTTAATTTACGAAATTAGTGGTGTCAAGAATAGCTAGGTGGTCTTTAATTCTTTAATGAACTCTATTTTGTGCTAATATGAATCGAAATGTAATGATAAAGTTTTGAAATAACTTGCCTAAAATTTTTTAGAGTCGAGTCAAATTCTATGAGTTAATTCAAAAAAAAAGTAAACTATTTTTACAAGGGTGATTTTTAATATTTAACTAATATCATACAACAAAAAAAATGTAATTAAAAGTAAAAAGTCATACCATTATTTTTGGACAAGGACTTCTTCGGAGACAAGCATCTCACGTGCGGCAAGCATCTTAATAATGGCGTCGATGAGTTCTGGTTCTACATTAGATGCAAATGTCAAATATGGATTATCTTCTGTGATCTTCAAATCGGACACTTGTAAAAAGTGGCGATAACATGTCACACATGTAGAGAGATCGCATCTGATAATAGAATTCCTGATACGAACATAACTCTGTTCAATAGCTGCTCTGATATGAGAAGGAAGATTGAAAACAACTTTTCTCATGAATTTGGTGTATCTCTTCCTGAAGAAAAGCATCAATTTCTGCATGTGAATTGGGAAATCTCCATATATTGAATCGAAATTCGATGCATAAGGTAATTCAAGAACAGTATTTGTAACTTCAGGGAAATCTGCACAAAACTGAATAAGAGAATGAATATTCAAGTCTGTGTTCTTCTTGATGACTTGCTCGAGAGAGTATCTCTCCCAGAGCTTCTTTATTTCATCATCTTTGATGAAAGGTCTTGATAGAATGAAGAAATTAGAGAAAATCTCTTCAGTTATTTGAGAATCAGCTTCATGACCACTTAGATTCAAAAGTGCTTTGACTTGTTTGTGGAATTGCATATGAGTCTGTCTGAAGATTTGCAGCATATACTTTGCGAATTCCCAGAAAGAAACAAGCTTCTTTGATGGTGTTGATCGAGTTCCTTTCTTAAAAACATCAATTGGAACTTTTCCTTTTGAAAATGGGAATAAAAGATCCAAAAGACATTGGCAAAGATCAACGTGTATCAAGAACTGGTAAGATTCGGTTGTTACTTCATCATATTCGAGTAAACTCTGAGTCTTAGGATACAAGAAATCATAACACAAAGAGAAAAGAACGTTAAAGAAACATAAATCAATTGTTGAATATTCTTGGATCAAAAATTGTATGAAGAAATTCACACAACCAGAAGTTCCTTTAAATAACTGTGCAGTGTTCAATATATCTACGTACAATCTATTTGTTGTTGTAGGTATTCTTGATTTTGCCTGCAAGCAATTCTTTAAAAGAGTAATGGCATCTGTTGACATAATTACTGCCATATCTGTTCCATTAAATGAGCAGAAGAAATCAATAATATACGACAACAACCACGTGTAACTCTTTGGTTTGATATTGACATCTCTTAATGTCAAAGAAATTACATCTGTTGCTGGTTCAGTTAAAGGTTGTTCAACGTTCAATGGCAATAATCTGTACATGCAATCAACCATTGTTGGTGCCAATCCGCCAATAGAAATAACATATCCATGTCTATCTTTCGTGATGATTTGTCCATCATTAATAGCTTCTGTTGTTAAATTCTTTTTCTCCTGTGGTTTTTCTGTTTCTTCTTTAGGAGGTTCTTCTTGTTTTTGTTGCTGTTCTTCTTCATTGTTTTGTACAAGAATTGATGGTGTTTCTGGTACTTGTTCTTGTTTTACATCTTGTTGTTGCTGTTGTTGATTTTGTTGTTCTTGTTTAGGAATAATTTCATTCATTGATATTAATCGATGTGATGAATAAGACATAACTTTTTCATCTTGTTTCAATGAAATTGATATCTTTGATGAAGAAGGTTTGATTTTACTTGTATCAGCAACAGATTCTGCTCGTGTTAAAGACTTACTTGCACCAGTAATCTTCTCAAGAGAATCATTCTTATCTATGTTTTCTTTCTTAGGAGTTTCCAATTGATACTTAGAATTCGATTTCTCTTTCATTAGATCAACTTTGCTGGTGTTTGGAGATTCAGGAAGGTTCTTTAGTCTGCTGGAAGACTTGTTCAAGTTACTATTAGGAGTTTCAGTGATCATTTCATTGCTGAAATTGTTAATTGATCGAGCAGGACTTGATCTAATATTAAGTTTTCCTGGACTTGATGTTGCCAAATTTGTTGCGGATTGATTCAAAGCTGACATCTCCTTTTGCTTTGAATCTTTGCCGCGGCGTTTGTGCTTCGACTTATTCTGCGATTTCATCTGTTCTATATATGATTCGTCTGTCATAACTTCAACTTCTTCCATTGGAGGACGATAAGAAAGTTTTTCAATTTCTTGGTCTTTCTTTTGAAGAACGAGCTTGAGATCAGCGAGTTCTTTGGAGGCTTCAAGATACATTGGTCTGAAAGAGGCACCTTTCTCTTGGAATTTCTGGATTTCTTGTTCTTGTGATTTAATCAAAAATTGATTATCAACAATTGTGTTTTGGAGATTGGCAACTTGTTCTTCTAACTCTTTAACAGTGTTTTGCTCACGAATAATTTTGCAGTTGAGCTGTGTAAACTCTTGTTTCGTTTGATCATTTTCATATTCAAGATCTGCAATTCTATGACGTAATTCTGCTTCTTTAACACGCATGTCTTCAATCTTTGCCTGGTATTCAAGACTCTGATTGTTGATATGCTGTATTGTTTCTTCGTATTCTTGGATTTGCTTTTTTAATCCCATATTTTCTTCGAATAATTGATTGTTTTCACGCTCTTTGGCATCAATAATTGCGACAAATTCATCTCCTATATCTGGAAACTCTGCTAATTTGTATTTATAGAAAGATTTAATTTCGTTAAGAAGTTTTGAGTAATCCTCCGAGTAACTACGAATATCTGTAATGACTTTGTTCCAAAATAAAAACGATATATCGACTCCTTCCATGATATTTCTAAATTTTTCATGTGGAGTTTCATTTGGCCTGTCTTGTATTTCTGAAATCTGTTTTCTGAAACTTGCTAATAACTCTTGTCCATCTTTTGCTGTAACAATTCGTGGTTTCGTACTAATTAAATCGGAAATAGGAGGCAAATTTAATCCGCCATCATCTGGTTTGGGAGGGGCAGGTACGGGTGCCATTTCTCTGCGTCGTTCGCGTGGTTTTTGCGCTGTTTCTGGTCTTTTCGTAAGTGTTTTTTTAGATTTTGGCGAATTTAATGCTGTTGTTGGGCCTCTTGTTTGTGCCTGTGAAACAAGTGGCGATAATAAACGTGATTGAGCTGCTGTTTTTGGAACTGAACGTTTTTTCTGTTGAAAAGGGCCCATTTCGTATGGATCTTCGGGTAAAATTACTTTAGTACTTGGAGTAATCATTCCTCCGGAGATTAGGCTTCCTACTAAAGCAATATTAGGACCTCGAAGCCATTCTAGGTCCTTTTTTTCATTCATAAAACAAATTGAGGGAAATAACGTACATAAATTTTATCGAAAATCTTTACCGAATTTTTCTGTTCTAGCGTGGAGAATAGCTCTATAAGCCTCCAAATATATCAATATATTCCTGTTGAGCACTTTGTAGGGTTAGAAACAGATCAAATCTGCTCAATCCAAATCCTTTACTTCGAAAACTGCCATGTAAAGTCTGTTTTGACAATAATTTCAATTGAAAATAATCATTTTAACAATATTTGATTAGTATCATATAACAAATATAATTTTCGTTTTTAATTTTTTTAGGACGATAAATCATAATCCGTTAGTTTGCTTTAGAAGAAATGATGAAATCTCAAGGCAAAACTGCGCCACCAGGCTTTGCACTTTGCAATCCTGTAACGCAGAATCTGCAGACAACGTATATGTCTGCGCAGAAGGATAAAATCCAAGAGTTATTTTCAATGGATCAAGGTAATTGCCCAAACTGGCAAACAGCTGTTCTAAAAGAACTCATTGACGACAACAAAGCAGGATTTTTCGTTACAGATTTAGCACAACTTCAAGAACTTATTCAACATTTACTCGAGCCTCTAAAGACAGGAGAAAACTCCATGCTTCCGTTTTTAAAGCAAATAATCTCGTTATCAATTGTACCATTCAGGAAATTAAGCAATGGCGATGATGTTAGAAACTTTAATCATATCGGTGGTTTCTTCGCTTCTCTTTGCCCAGTCTTGAAGCTCCCATTCCAGGATCTTCAAATAGAAGCAGCTAAATCTATTTACTGGTTTGCTAAGAACTGCGGACCCTTAACAACAGCAGATGAATCTACTTTCCGTCATTTTTATCCTATTACCGATGATAATGCTTTATATTCTCTTATCCCACAACAGCTTTGCGTTGACCAAGTAATTGCAGTCTTTTGTGATTCATTTACAGATTTTCTTACAAAAGTCAAGTACGATCCAATCAATACAGATATCCTTACACTTGCATTCAACAGCTTATTCGAGTTTGTTAAGCGTGGACAGTCAAAGCATATTCCATCTGGCTTCCTTACAACAATTTTGAATTTCATCATCGATAACTCCGAAATTATCCATAGTCCGCCTGGAGATAAGAAAGAAGGACCTGATCCAATCTGCACAACACGTGTTTTGGCCTATGCTTTAATGTTTATTGACGCTTTAATTCAAGAATCCAAAGAAGCAATGAATATTTGCATCTCATCATTATCAACACTTTGGAGCTTCTTCGTTGATACACTTTTCGCCTGCTTCAAGAATGTCCAGAAGTGCATTAGAAATGAAATTTTAGGAATCATCATTTTGACACTTCAGAAATGCCCACCAAAATGCGTTGACACATCACTATCAAACAAGATGTTCGATCTCCTTCAAAAGATCGCTCAACTTCCATTAGATGTCTCTGATACAATTATCTACTCATCGAAAGAGAGAAGTATCAGACTTACTCATGAACCAGTTGATATTGAGTTACTTTTGCTCTCTCAAGATCTCATTCTTTGGTTAGATAACATTGATATCCCTCCAACAGAGGAATTTACCAACCATCAGATCGATGTTCTTCGTGGAGAAGTCAACAAATACCTTGTTCCCCATCTCCCAGAGTTCACACGCCAAGCTTTGCTCATCATCAGATTTAATCCTGTACATTTGAGCGACGCCGGTATCGATGTCTTACGCGGAATGATCCAAAATCCATCTTCTACGGAGTTGTTGTTCTATACTTTGATGTTAATGCTTGATATTCCAAACAGATTCAAGACAACTGAAGATGTAAAGAGTCTCATGGCCCTTCCACGCCAAAATGAGAAGATTCTTTCATTGGTTTTGTCGAATCTCGCCGCTCAAATCCGACCACCAAAGGACAAATCCGAAGAAGAAGCCGAAGCGGAAGGTCCAGAGGCAGCTTTGGCTCAGGAATTCGTTGATCTCCAAGGCATTGACATCCTTAAACAATGCTTTACCAGCGAATTTGCTGAAGTTGTTGCAAGTAGCATTGATTGCGCCAGAGCATGCGTTCCATTCTGCTTCAAGGACATTGACCAAAGATTTATCTTCATGTTACTTGATTGCGCAGACGCAGCTCCGACATTACTTCGATATGCATTTGTTGGCTTGTTCCTTGACTTGATTACACCATCCTTTGTTGAATCTGCCATGTTGTGGCGTTCACTTAACACGAATGCCAACATCCAGAGGACAATTGTCAGATGGTGGCGTCAAGAAGAAGAAAGGCTTAGCATCAAATACGACAAATGCATCATTATCGATGCAGACAGACCTCTCGATGGTCATCCATTAGTCACAAAGAACGAGTTCCCTCCGAAACCAGACAGAAAATGGCTTCTCGACAAGAATTCTCTCGATCCACCGTCAAAATCATACAAACTTGACATAAGAGCGAGATTATTCTTGTTCCTTTCCGCTTTCCCACCATTAGATCCAAACGATTGCAAGCCAACGGACAGGATCAAAGAACTCATGATTCGCAGCTACAGAGAATTAAAGACAGGAGCTGTTTGGTCAGATCTCAAAGACCAACTAAAGGACGAATCAGTCAAACCATTACATGACGACAAATTATTGATAGAAAACAACATTTCGGAGATGAGAAGTCGCGCATTGGACATCCAAGAGAAGCAATGCGAAATCTGGCAACAATGCGAAAATGACAGACTTGCCATGGAAAAGAGAACTTACAACCAACTCGCAGATGGTCTCAAGACTGCACAATATGTCGCTGAAAACTACAAGGCAATTGTAAATAGCCAGCCAGTGACTGTTGCAAGGTCTTTCCAGGGAAGAACTGTCAAAGGTGAAGATGTTTTGGTCAGAACAGGAAACTTGAGAACAATTGCTAAACAAGAAGTAATGATGACTGATTCAACGAACCAAGTTAACGCTGCACAAGAACGCGAGAAGGAGATTGAAGAGAATTATATTAATGATTGCTTGAAGGATGAATCTATTTCTTATTTAGTTCAATTAATGAAGAATAATAGTTCGACAAAGAACTCTCCAAAGGCTGTGCAAAGTTCTACTCAATTGGCTTCGGTTCCTTCGAATTTAGGACAGGAAAATATTAGTGCAGTTGCTTCTGCTAATCAAGTCAATCCTGCAGCATCTGAAAATCCTCCTCAAGAAGCTCCAGCTAATTAGAGAAAAAAAATTATATAAAAAAGATGCATGTTTATTATTTGATTTTTTTTTTACCTTCATGAGATCTTTCTCTCTTAATGACGTGATGTTTTCCTGTTGAAATCTTTTGTATTGATATCTGAACCATGTGAAATGAGAATATTGCTTATTTGTATGTAATATTTTTCTACCGCATAATGAAGTGCTGTTTTTCCATCAACATCTTTTGCATTGATATTGACACCACATGAAATGAGAATATTGATTATTTCTGCATTGTGTTTTTCTACTGCATAATGAAGCGCTGTTTTTCCATTAATATCTTTTGCATTGATATCGACACCACATGAAATGAGAATATTGATTATTTCTGCATTGTGTTTTTCTACTGCATAATGAAGCGCTGTTTTTCCATCAACATCTTTTGCATTGATATCGACACGACGTGAAATGAGAATATTGATTATTTCTACATTGTATCTTTCTACTGCATAATGAAGCGCTGTTTTTCCATCAACATCTTTTGCATTGATATCGACACGACGTGAAATGAGAATATTGATTATTTCTGCATTGTGTTTTTCTACTGCATAATGAAGCGCTGTTTTTCCATCAACATCTTTTGCATTGATATCGACACGACGTGAAATGAGAATATTGATTATTTCTACATTGTATCTTTCTACTGCATAATGAAGCGCTGTTTTTCCATCAACATCTTTTGCATTGATATCTGCTCCATTTAAAATGAGAATATTGGTTATATCTTCATTACAATGCTTTATTGCATAATGAAGTGCTGTTTTTCCATTAACATCTTTTACATTGATATCTATACCATGTGAAGTGAGAATATTAATTATTGCTATATTATAATTCTTAATTGCATAATGAAGTGCTGTTTTCCCATTAACATCTTTTGCATTGATATCTACACCACGTGAAATGAATATGCTGATCATTTCTTCATTGCGTAGTTCTGTTGCATAATGAAGCGCTGTTTTTCCATCAACATCTTTTGCATTGATATCTGCTCCATGTGAAATGAGAATTTCTGCTGTTTCTAGGGAATTATAACTTACTGCAACATGAAGTGGAGAACATTTATCTTTGCCTTTTGCATTAACATCTGCATTGTGAGCAATAAGCAATTCTGCTACATCTTTATAATTATATTGGCCAGCATAATGAATTGAGGTATAACCATATGTGTCTTTTGAATTTACATCAATATTTGAATAACTTAATAATAGTTTGCAAATATCAAAGCAATAATAAGCAACTGCATAATGTAGAATATTCATTTTGCCACCTGTTGTAATGGTTAAGTCTATTTCTTCTTTTGTGAGGATTTCAAATGACTGTGGAAACCCTGCACACCATGGAATTATTGAATTCTTATCATTCATGAACATTCGAAAAAGAAACGCCAAATTTTGTGATAATATAGGGTGTCCAAAGGTGTGTTTAGCACAAACCTGAATACTGCGAATAGAAATAAACAAGTTACATATATATAAAGTTTATTTAAATATAATCACCATTGGATTCAATCACGCGTTCGCAGCGATCGATCCAGGCTTGAAAGACACGCTTTAAATTATCATGAGAAAATTGCTCAAATTGCTCTCTTACAAAATTTTCAAGATCATCTGGACTCGCGAATTCGCGTCCTTCAGCTCTTTTTTAGCGTGCCGAATAAATAAAAGTCAGAGGGTGTAATATCAGGTGAATAAATTGGGTTTGGAACAACTTTGACATTGTTTTCCACCAAGTAATTCATTACCTTATGACTTTTGTGAACTCTTGAATTATCAAAATGAATTGCAAACTTTTGTTTTTGTTGTTTGGATTTCTCAAACTCATCAGAATTGATAATTTGAGTAAGAACATTGTCAATTAGATACTGAACATTCATCGTATTAGGTTTTTGAAGAATATCAATTGCGATGATGCCATTCACGCCCCAAAAAACCGACAACATCATCATTGGTGTGTCAATTTTTTTCTTCGGGAATGTTTGCGGATTTTCATCCTTCGGGATCCACATGATTTTGGCTTCTGTTGCATATTGAAACCAAGACTCGTCCCCTGTTACTAAAAAGCGAAACTTCTTGGATTGATACGCACGCAATATAGAGAGGAGCTCTTTCGAAGATTGGACTCTATATTTTTTTTGAACTAAATTAAGGTTGTGCGGAACCCAACGTGTATACGCTAGTTTGTAGTTCAAATAATTGTGCAGATAATAACTGACTATTGTACGTGGTATCTTTGTCATCTCCTCTATCCTTCTGAGTGATGCTCTTGGGTCTTCATCTAGCGCTTGAAGAATTGCTTTGATTTTTCTTTGATCCAGCGATTTTTTGTCAATTTTTATGATGGGCGCCTTTTTGTTCATGAAGTGATACATCCTAACATGATACGTTACAGTGGAATAGCTAGAGAGCATCCATACCGAAGCATTTTACCAATGTCTCGTAGATTTTTTTACAGTCTTTGCATTTTTTTGCAAGAGCGAGGATGTTTTCTTTATGATTCATTAAAAAAATGAAAAAAATCCCGCCAAAATTTCCCGCGAAACCGCCTCTTGTCTCAAAATTCATTTTATATCCCGGCATGGCGCCAAAATACAACTTACTCATCATATACATATATTCATATTTTTTATTATATATTTATAATCAGCATATATCTCCTTTAATAGTCTCATATAGAGCGCTGTGCTAAACGCACCTTTGGACACCCTATATATAGTCCGTATAAAGAATTGTATCAAATTGAAACATACCTCTTTCAAAAATATATTCAAGGAATTTATTGTTATGAGAACAAATAATACATTCTATGGATTTTCTATTTATTTTATTTCCTTTTAAACATTCATTAATGATATCAGTATTTCCTCCGATAAAAGAGTATGGGAGACATTGTTCAGTAATTTTAATATTTAAATTAGATATTAGGAAAAAGAAAATATTAACTGATCCAAAATAACAGCATGCTTCAATTAGAGAATAAGATGAAGTAGACATGTTACCCATTAAAGAAATTCGAGGACAAAATGTAATTGTTTTTATTGATGATTCGACAGTTAATTCTTTGAACAAATCAATTTTATCGTACATTATAATATTTGTAATTCGGTCATTTTCTGGATTATATTCTCCAGCAATACTAACCTGTAAAATCATAAGATAATTACTTGTTATAATCAATTTCATTGAGCGAGCTAATAAGCGTAAAGATTCATTAATAAAAACATCTTTAAAAGATAGAGAATAAGTAATAAAGAATTGGTTAAGAAGTTGAATATATAATGTGATGGATCGATAATTAAATTGAATTGCTTTCAGTATACTTACGACAATAGTTTGAAATGGTATTTTGTATTTGGTAACTAAGATTGATGAAATCAATTTCAATAAATCTTCAACAGATTCATTTGTCTTTGCATGATAGAGCCTCTCATATACCATTATGTGATCTGCATACTTTTTTAAATACTCGGAACACATGAAGAAGTATGAGAGAATAAAGACGAAAATTGACAAAAATTTTAACTTCACCCTATATCGATTTTCAAATTATTTTCATTAGTTCCATGACTTCAATGATTATTCTATGCATGTATTGAAATTAAATGAAGGAATGGTATTAATTTACATCTTCTATATGTAAATTTAGCATAGATCTTAAATGCAAATTATGATTCACTTAAAGGAATCATGTTTTACGCATTCAGAAATGCATACATGCGTATATTTGATGGATGTTATAAGTTGAATGTTTGTTTAATAAAAGAATTTTTTAAAATAAATATTGTAAAAATAAAAATTTAAGAAGAGTAGATGAAAAACAATAATTAACATTTACTCTGAACGTAAAAACATACATATATTAAAGAAAATCAAAAATTTGACATGAAATTTTCTAAATTATTCGTATTTATATGCAGCAGCATACTCAAGCGTTCTTCTAACGTAATAACCCGGATCATAAGCATCCACCCAATACTTTTGGTTAAATTCATAATCTTTTCTTGGAACAGCTGGTTCAATATTTGTTCCTTCCAAAAAATTGTTGAAAGAGTTAATAATGATGACATCTGGATCAATTTCTGTTGCTTTCTTCCACATTTCTTGATAGTGTGATCCATTTTTGCGATGAATATTATAAGAATGATGCCAATCATTTGAAAGTTGGTCATCGTAGCCAGGGCCAACGGCCAACATCAATGTTATTCCTCTTTCTCTGCATGCCTTTGATAATGACTTCCAATTTTCTGGTTTTCCTGTTGAATAAGCTCCATTTACTGAATATGTAAAAACAGAATTGAATCCTTCTTCATTTTGAATACCTACTTGATATATATTCTCAATGGTACTTACGAAATAGCAATCATAAGCCGAATTTCTTAAATTTGAAATTAATTTATAAATATTAGAAATTTTGTAGGGTTCATATAGTATAACAACTGGCCTACTGAATATTTTAAGCATTGTCTGGCTTTGTCCGTATTTATCTATGTAATATTTAATAGAATCGTAAATTGTTTGATTTGTGGTTTCAGATGTTGTTCTTAGTTGTATTCCGACTCTCATTCCGTATATACCTGCGTATTTAAATAATAAGTCAAGTGTTTTTTCTTCTTTTTGTGAATTATTGTGATGACCATCCCAAATAAAGATTACGGAGTCAATTAAAGAATTTCTCATCAACAGCATGTGTGAATCAATGACTGATTCATCGCTTGAAGAATATATTCCTAGTTTTGGAAAAGTTCTAATCGGAAGTTTAAAAGGAGGATCATTTTCTGATGCTTTTCTTGGTGATTTGGCTATCCATCCTGAGTATGGTTGATCTGTTCGATTATCTTCATAATTTCCTACGTATAATGTCCAAACCATTTTGTTAAGCATAACATTATAAGGGGAAGCAATATCATCTAAACCTGAAATATCTGTTAACAAGTACCATATCCAAAGAATAAAGAAAATAACTGAGTATATCAGTAATTTCTTCCGTCGAATAAATCTCAAAACTGAAAGAAATATGGTAAAATTTATTTCATAGCCAGATTAGATAAATAAGATATACAAGCATATGTTTAAAAGCACCTATTTCACATACTATTGTTCAAAATCAATGAATATGCATTTAATTCACTTTGCACTTGTTAGATTGGTCAGATTCTATGAAAATTGGTAAAAGAATTATTATGAATAGGTGAAAAACAACAAAAAAAAAATCAAATTTTATAAATTTGAAATACGCAGCCTAACAAAGATAAATTGGATTTATCTACCATTAGAATTCTGATTTATGGGGATAAATACTTTTCATTTTTAGATAATTATCCGAAAAGTCAAAATTTCATGATTTGGACTAAAATCTCTATATAAAATTTCATGCATAAACAAAATAAAATTTACTAACAATGATGTTGATAAAATATCATACAGTTTCGGTGCCAGAAGCTCTATTCAATAAAGCTGCTGGTTTTTTCCCGGAAATTTTTGGTTGAAATCCACCATTAAGCACAGCAAAAGCGAGGATAATTCCACCAAGGCCAAACGCGAATAGTAAAATTGTCAAAATAAAATGAATCGTGTAATTTGTTCTATATACAAATGCTGGAACTGAATTTGTCCAAGAACGCCTATCTCTCGAAAAAGAAACTTTAATTTCACCTGGTTTCAAATAAGGTGAAGGACAATTCATTTTTGAATGAGAATCTAATGTGCAATTCACGATATGTTCTCCAAATCGCCCATAGCCGATTTTGAAAGTGGTTGGTTGCAGTTCAAAGTACACATCTAGTTTTCTTCCTGCGATCAATCGAAAAGGGGTTATAGATACCAATTTTGTATGTGTTGAAAAGTCATCTAAAGAAATTGAACTTTGACTGCTACCTTGAATTTCTGGGTTCTCTGGCACGACCGAAAATTCATCAAATATTTCATTTCGGTCTATGACCCTTTTCTTCTTGAATTCTTCTTCAAGATTCTTTTCTGGGAATGCAGGCTTTAATCGATTCTTTCCCTGTTTGTCTTTGAACCGTAATTTGGGTTTCTTACTGTCGATTTTGATTTTTTCATCATCCGGGTGATATTGTTCTTGTAAGCCATCTAGAACCAAGTTCGAATTCTCGCCAGCAACTGAATTAACTATAAGTAGGAAAAGCATTTTTATAAAATGATTTCTGTTTCATTCAAATTTTATTGTTTTCTATCAAATGAAGATCTGAAATTTTTTTTATTTCGAGATAAAGAATACAAAATTAATTAATATTTAAAACTAGCAACTTTCCATTTTCATTGATGATTCAAAATTTTTGAGAACATTGACATTGGAAAGATTAAATTGGAATAGATTATTATGTTCCCTATTTTATTTTTTTATTACATAAATTTTTGTTACTTTTTATGATATTCGCCTCACAGTTTAGGAATTTCTCCCAGACTTGATTCTTTTTGATGCGTTTTGTAAACAATATGTAAATCATTAGTGAACGTATGGTAAGAGATCATGTATATGATCTTAATTTAAGGAAATATTATATTTTGTAAAATTTTATTGGTATATTATGTAATTATTTCAGGGTCACGCATAGATTAATGTTACTGGATTGCTCTTTGAAGAAGTTCAACTAATCTATGAAAGCAATTTTGAAGTGCATAATGAAGAACTGTTTTTCCTTCTTTACAATTTTTTCATTCGCATTTGCACTTTGTAAAAGAAGAAGTTTTGCAGTTTCTTTGCTATTTTTAACTGCTGCCTTATGAAGAACTGTTTGTCCGTATTCATTTGTTGCATCAATATTTGTCCCAAATGATGCTCTAACATTGTTCAATTAACTAAAGCTACTGATAGCATCATTAGATTGGTCGAATAAACAAAATTGAATCAAGGATATTATACAATGCTATAAGTATATCTCAAAATTGTTCAATCCTATGTGAAATATGATTGCATTCACATGTATTATTTATTTGGTGTATGATATTTCAATTACTCACTCATGATATCTGATATTCATAGATATATTATGAATCAATCTCAATAATAAAGGCAAAATCTCAAAGAAAGTTTTCCTTGAGTAAAAAGTGACACTAAGGTATTTCCTTGAACTGATTTAAAATACTTGTTTTAAAAATTCATCCTTATTCTGTCCGTATTTTTGTGTAATTTTTCCTGAATTTGTTTTGAATTGAATAATTAAATACAATGGGAATTACATCATCTTCACCTTTCGAGGTTACACCAGCCCTTGAAACTCTTAAACAAACACCAAAAGGCCAACCATGTGCACTTCTTGTTATTGGTGTATGCGAATCCTGGTCTGAGCAAAGATTCGCAAAATTTTTATCAAGATATAACATTTCTTTCACAAATGTTCAAAAAATCCGAGGCGAGAATTATGCAATCTTATATTTTGCAAATAACCAAGAAAGAATTACTGCTTATTCTTTTCTTCATGATTGCAAAGTTTCTGATAATACATTTGTCGTTAAACCATATGTAGAATACGATCCTCCGCCAATGCCATATGCAACTCAATCCGAAATTGTCAAAGCTTCAACTCTCAAAACGCAAACTGTTTATGAAAGGAAATATCTCTTCATGAATGTCCCAGCTGAAGAGAGATTAAAGCGTAAGAAGACTGAAACCGAAAGTTTCCTCCGAGAAGTTTACTCAGAACCCCTTGAAATTGTCGAATCTCCTCTTGAATATACATGTCACTCAAGAGTTGATTTGATTGCAGGTTACGATATTAATGGAGAGATATGTGTCGGATTTAACAGCTCTTCAAGAGTCAATGCAATGATTATTCAAATTGATGATTCATTTAAAGTTCCAAAACAAGTTATTGAAATTGCGAGCGTATTCAAGAGTTATATTTCCAAATCTATATTCCCTCCATATGATTACGACCTTAGAACAGGAAAATGGATGAAATTATCCATCAGAATTACATCAACCAACAAAGTTTTGATTACGGTTGCCACAAAAGGTGGTTTACCTCTCGACGAAGTCGATAAATTAAAGTCTGTCCTCAGTCCACATGCAAATTCAATTTATTGGCTCAAATGCGACGAAAATCAAGCATCATTCAACAACCCACATCATACAATATCAGGTGCACAGTTTGTTGTCGAGAAAATACGTGACCTTGCCTTTCCAATTTATCCATTTACTGTTTTTCCACAGAATTTCTACATTTTTGACAAAGTCATTGACACAATCAAAGAAATGGCATCTCTCGATGAGAATACAGTCCTTGTTGACTTCTGCTGTGGTACTGGCGTCAATTGTCTTTCACTATCTAAGTCCGTAAAACGCTGTATCGGCATTGATTCGTCAGAAAGCAACATCGCAACTTCCCAAAGAAACGCTGAAGAGAACCAGATCAAAAACGCTTATTTCGTAATCGGCGGACAGTCCAGTTTAGGTGATATCGCTAATAACGTGACAGGAACCGAAAGATTGGTCGGATTCCTCGATACTTCTCAAATTGGTCCACACACGGAAATATTAAAAAACGCAAGTTTTTGTACCAAACTTAAATCGCTTGTTTACGTTACAAAGAGTCCGTCAACACTTAGATACGACTTGTTTAGGAACTTCCCTGACATGGAAATCAAGAAAGTCAAGCTTTTCGACATTGATCCGTTAACAATTGAATCTCAATTGGTAGCATTCCTTACTAGGAAGACGGTTTAATTAACTTTTATATCTTTTTATTATTTTGTAGTTTATTTATAAAATATCCTTTTAAAAAACATACAAATTATTTTTATATTGTTTAATTTCACATAATTGATTAATAATTTCACCATACCTATGATCTCTTTAAGTTCAAATTGACAGTTCAATGCTCGGGAATAATAAAAAATGTTTTCTTCCAAGAAACAAGAGATTTTTAATATTAATGATAAGAATTAGCTTCCCTTACTAAAAATTTCATCTATCTATTTCATTTTATGAAGGATTTTGGCATGATTTGCTAAATATTTATTCTAATATTGAAGAAATAATTTATCATTTGATAAAATATGTATTGGTAACAAAAGTTTAGAAACACTATGAATAAACGAAATGGATTTATTCGATATAAGTAACTTTGCCAACAATTTCCTTTGGATCGATAACAGGCTTCTTCTTCCTGAAACCAAGAGCAAGGCCAATGACAAGTTGGCCCTTCTGGAGATTCAAAACCTGTTCAACCTTCTCTTGAGCAATGCAGCCGAGAATCATTGAGTCGATATTGAATTCCTGAGCAGCAACCATAGCACCCATAGCAATAATGCCACAGTTCATTTCTGTAACAGCAGAAGCGCGTTCGTTCTTAATGAAAAGAATAATATCCTTTGAGTCACCAGTGATAATATTCTTAACATCATATTTGCCAACACGAATATCAAACTGTGCTTTCTTCTCTTTTGGAAGACTTTCGTAAGCAGCGGTGCTGATCTTTTCGATCAATTGTGGATCGGTAATCCACATTAAGTCGATATCTTGCTTATTCATGAATGTTGGGGAATTTAAAGCTGCGTCGGCAATTTCCTTACGTTGCTCTGGTGTTATGGACATTGTTGTATCGAAGCTTCTGATTGAGCGGCGATGTTTTAACGCATTAAGTGCCATCGAACTTCAGACTGACGCACGTTTATAATTATCTGATGAGGGATTCGATTCGATTTAGAAAATCCTATAAATGATATTTCAAGAGCGACATTCATAATGAAGTTATATTTATTGTCTATTTCATAGAATATAAATTACAAATTTTCGCGCTGACTTTTTATGTAAATTGAGCAAAGCTCAATTTACATAAAAAGTCAGCGCGAAAATTTTGATTCTTTTTAGAGAAGGTAAAAAAAGAAATTTCGCGTTACGTTTTTTTTCTCTCAAATAAAATTTAATTTAAAAAGCTAAATTTTATAATTTAACAGCATCTAAAGACTCGAAACAAATTTGCCAATATCAATTTTTTCAAAAGTTTATTTTTACTTTTTCATGGCAGCCTAACTCAACAAACTTTTTCACCCGAGGAAATTCGTTGATCCTTGTAGAAACGAGACTAATCTGGCCAAATGATAGAGTCCCCTATTCTTCATCTATTTCCAGATTTTACAGATGATTTATATCCATTTTCACAATCCTCCTATTTCCGAGCACTCCTACCCTACCAAACTCATTTCAAAGAAGAAAATGCTGAAGCCCGCTAGGGCTTCAGCTTGTTCATCCCGAATGAGCCAAATTTCAATCATCAAACAAGAAAAACTTCTTATTAATAAAAAACTTAAGCAGCATCGAGGATGCAGATGCTGTTAAATATCAAATTTAGCTTTTTTAAAATTAAATTTTTTGAGAGGGAGAAAAGTGACGCGAAAATCTTTTCAACATATAAACTGCTTGCCCTAAGGTGGACAATATTGAAAGGAATTCAATGAGTTCTCTCAAAAATAACCACCTTTTCATATTCAATACTATTGTCCACCTTTCGTCCAACTTAAATAATTTATTTAGAAACAACAAAACAAAATAGATAAAAATAAATAATGCAGCAAGGTCCAGAAAGACCTAAAAAATCGAAATGACGGAGTGGATTTTTGATATAACTCATTAAATGGAAATTATGAGATATTATAATTAAATTTTTCACACTATCCGAGATATAAGAAAACTAGCATCCAGGTAGCTCGGATATATGGGTAGTATCTATTTTTGGAGAAAACTCCAAAAGTTAAAGTTATGATTTACTAATGAGAACAATTATAAGAGAAACAAGTAGCTGAAAAGGAGCATCATTTGATATGACTAACAATTACTTATTCGTAAGTTTCTGCAATGTCTGTTCGAGGAGAAATTCTGCTTGATTTGGATGAACGTTTATAAGTTTTTAGAGTAAATAATTGAAGAATTTGGAGTTCTTAGCATGAGTATGTTAAGTGGACAGTAGAGAAATTTGGTAGCAATGCATAACGGTTGCAATATTTTCGGGTAATTCAGAATAGGATCTGTTTGAGCATAAAGAGATGCAATATTATTGGATCTCTAATCATTTAAGCCATGCATCTTGTGATTTCAAAGCGTGTTGTGTCTCTGTTCCGCTCACTAAAAATGTAAAAAAATTTGACTATTATCCACCTTAGGGCAAGCAGTTTATATATAATAAATTAATAATGCAAAATTTCCAACCCTGAAGAGATAATGTGAATACCCGATTCTGCCAAGTTTGTTGAAATTTTTTTTACCGAAAAGATTACTCATTTCTTTTAAATATTATTGTTTTATAATTTTATTTTCTTTAATGTTTATTTGAAGACTCCAATAAACGTTCTCATTCTTTGTGTGACGTTATGCAGCTTCTTTGCAAGAATATCAAACTTATGTATTCTTATGTCATCAATTTTGTTCAATTAATTTACAATTTCTGTCCTCTGTTCAATCTTAATGTTTTATAATTATGCTTTTCATTTAAATTCATTAATAAGATAAATTTCGACTTTTAAAAATATGTCCTCTTTGAAAAATTTTGAATATTATTACGCCAATTTTTTAAATATTTGCTTCTTAGGTTCAAGCTTAATGATGATCAAATACATGAAATTATTCAACAGAAAAGAATTGTTATGCTATTTTATAAATGCTTAGATATGCGATTAAAATTTATGTATGTTTGTATGTAACTATATTTGTTTAGAAATAAAATTATGAACTGGGAAAATTAAGTATGTTTTTAGGCTTCTGTGACGTGCCACTTAATACATATGTTCAAAGGCTGTTTTTCAATGATGCTTCACACCAGTTGTCATAAATTTGAATTAAAGTCAGATTTATACATATTTTAATTGTAATTTTTGCTAAAAATGATAATATTTCATGCATATACGATTTATATTAATATTAATTTGTGTTCAATTCAATTTTGTGCAAGAATTCCAAAATATGTTAAACTCCTTTTCTTTTGTAAAGTCTCTTATTCAAATTTTTGATAGAGGTTCACTCAATATTGAGGCAGAAAAACGATAGGGAGACTTTACGTAGGAAAATGTGTTTAGATTCTAATTTAATTATGGTCGGATTCGATCTAGAAAAATATATTTCTAATGTTTAATGTTATTTTGTCAGAATCGTAGCAATTCTTGTTTCGATATAAAATAATGTTGTTAGAAAAAGAATTATTAGTCATTTGTAGCACCATGTTCAACTAAGAATTTGAAAATGTTTGTTGCTTTAACATCGATGGCAATAGAAAGAGGGCATTCATTAATATCGAGAGAATGTCATAAAACAATGATAAATATGAAAAGAAAGAGAATTCCATAAAACAATGTTAAATATGAAAGCAAAGAGAATTCCATAAAACAATGTTAAATATGAAAAGAAATATTATTAGATAAAACAATGATAAATATGAAAAGAAAGAGAATTCCATAAAACAATGATTAATATGAAAAGTAAGAGAATGTTATAAAACAATGATAAATATGAAAAGAAAGAGAATGTGATGAAACAATGATAAATATGAAAAGAAATATTATTATATACCCAGATTTTCCTTACTTTTACCACCCCTCTAAAGCTGGGGACACCGCCTATCGTTGGGAGTAGCTATTAAATAGAACCACCAAGGGTAGTTCATTATGCCAAGGTTTGATTTCCATTTAGCTAATTTTTTTCTTTTTTGGATCATGAATTTTTTTTTGGGTCACTATAAGATTTGTTTCATGTTCTAAATCTGCTGCATATGTAATCTATTTTTATTTACCTATTTTTTAAAAATCTATTGGATTGCCAAATTTGAATATATTTAAAATCATAAAAATCCAAAAAAACTATAAATATATGTTTTATGCATAGTGCCGATACTCAAATATCAGATTACTTAGATCCATGAATAATATCCGAATTTTTTTTCTTAAAATTAAACTTCAAAACTTCTTGCAATCTTATTCTTAATCAATTGGAAATTTTTAAAACCATTTTTTAAAATAATTTTGCGTAAATTTTATTCTCATGTTGTTTTAATCGAAAATTGATACATTTTCAAAAAAATAATATTGACTTATGAAATTTATTTTTAAGGTGAAATAGTATTGTTTTTATTAAAGTATATGAATAATATATAAAAAATTAATGAATAATATAAGCAGATTTTTAGTTTACAAAACAAATATGAGCAATGCAATTTCAAACTTTTGCTGGCAATTTCGATATTGCTCAAGTTTGTAGTATTTGTGATACCTATAACATCGGCTTAATCAAAATTCGATTTTTCTTATGAGTTATTGAGAAAATTTGATTGCAATGAGAAGGATTTCGACGTTTTTGATAAACTAAGAGCTGAGCTTTAGGGGTTCAGTTCATTTATGGCTGTAGTTTGATGCGTAGATCTCTTTTTTATTGTAAATTCTTTCAGCATGGAGATCGAGAATGAATCTTTTGAGAACTTTATGAGTTTTTACACCCGTAAAGAGGTCCTTCGAGGAAAGATAGTCCAGACTACATGAAGATGTGGGTTAACCAAAAAAATCCGATGGTTTCCCCATATTCATGTAGATCTTCGAAAAAATGAGCACCAAAAAAGCCAAAAAAATAGGCTTTTTATTGGATTTGTACACTAGATCAATAATCTATTTAGGATCTGTCGAGAAACTTCCTCACACCTCACGAGATGCTTCAACATCGGTTAAAGTTTTAATTTTGTTTTTTTATCTGCAGTCAAATGACTCAGACAAGCCCTACGGACAAGACCCAAGGGGTCATAGATGTTGAAGCATTGAAGAAAGAAATTCGTGAGCAAATTTTATCCGAACTTAAGGAACAAAAACAAGAACAAAAGCCGGAGAGACCAAAGAGAAAACTTAGTGAAAAACAACTTGCTGCATTAGCTGCTGGAAGACAAAAGAACCCAAGACTACTGGCGAAGAAAGCTAGAGAAGAAGCTGAAGCAAAAGCTAAAGAAGCTGAAGCAAAGAAAGAGTAAATGGTTTATTTTTATCCGAATTAAATGTATAGACAAATACCTTTATCTGTTGCGTTCAGTAGTGAAAACCCTGACGTCAAAATAAAGGGGAACAGAGTAACGTTTAAGTTTCCAACAGACTGGATTGTGAACATAAATGAAGAGAAGTACATTGGCATAACAAATATGTATATAACACGTGCTTTCAGAAAGGTTGACTTTATACTTCAAGTCGAGATAGAAAATGACGAACAGTCTTTAAGCGCCCAAAACATTCACATATACAAATACTTTAAAGACGATACAACATTGCAACAATGTATGATTTCATTTAATGAATGTTCGAGAAAAAGTTTAACATTGAAGTACAAACTTTACAGCCTTTACGTGAGTTTCTTGCACAACTGAAAGAAGAAGGTAGTCAGCCACAACTTATAGACTTTCATTATGAATTTAATGAAAATGAAGATGGAACTCATGACTGTCAGTTTGTTGTATTCTCACCATTCAATGAAGTGCTAAAAAGAAAGAAAATCCATTACGTATAAGATTTCAAATCTCTGAACCAAGTGATGATTTCAAGAATGTTTTCAATTATGATGCAATGCTTCCGAGGAAAAATGAATTTTCAAAGATTGTAACACCTGGCATTTGGGATAGAAAGCAAGCTATA